ACGTGTGCTGCCTGAACTCTGGAGCACAGTCTTCGGCTCCCACACAGTGTAAAAGAATGTCATCGCTCCACCCTTTGAAGGTTTCCTCTGTGACTCTGTGGGTTTACTCCCCCACACCCCTTACCCGATCTCATATGCCCCTAGACTGAGTTCTCAAAGAGGGTTGTCGTGTCTGGGTTTCTTGAGTGTCTGGGGTCTGACGCACATACTTGTACGTACTTCACAGGCGAGTGAATGAACAGGTGACTGAGTGAAAACTGACTCCCCACAGACACAGTTTGCAGACTCCACAGGGGCTCATGTTCCTCTGCCTCTCCTGATCTCTCATTTCACAATCCATGCATGAGCACGCGCGCGCGCACACACACACACACACACACACACACACACACACACACACAGAGTTCTGATCTCAGTTCCCCTAAAATCCCAGAGTTATGGCCTGACTCTTTTACCCATTTGTAACTGACTAGAAAGTTCCAAGACTGTCCTAAGAGTCTGAAAGGGAGGAGACTTAGCTCCTCTAAAAATACATGAATTGTACCCCAGTAGGGCGAAGGGACTAGCTACTGGGAAGAATCAGAATTGGGCTGGGAGCAGAGGGGCTTGTACTAACCTGAGGACTGCTGTCCCGGCCTGACCATGCCTCTGCACATTTGCTGGCGCTCTTCCTGAGCTGGGAGGCTGAACCAAGTTGGGGGGTGGCCATGCCTCTCCTTGAGGCTGCCTGGCTGGCGGGCAAAGCCAGATTTAGAAGCCATTTTCACAGCAGGGAGCCTCCAGCTTCCCACCCACAGGGTCCTGCAGGGCCAGGCTGATAGGGCTCACCCAGGGCTCATCCCTCTTCCCTTTCTCTCTTTTACTCCCCAGATCTTTAACAACTACTGTGGACTCCATTCCCAGACCAAGATGGAGGATGTCCGGGTGGGGGGTGGAAAGTGCTGCATTGATGCCCTAAACACCCATGTGCTCACAAGGGGCTGTCTCTTGGGGTCCCCTTCCATCACCCTGGCTTCAGAGCTTGCTCCTCCTCTATGACCTGGCCTCTCCTCCTCCTCCTCCATATCCCCAACACTACTAAAATAGTCCTATGGCTACAGCCATAGTACAGTGAGAAGGGCGTGTACCTTGCACGAGGCTGACCTGGGTTCGATCCCCGACATTCCATATGGTCTCCTGAAGTAAGCCCTGAGCATTGCCGAGTATGACTCCCCACAAAAAAAAAGCAAAATAAAATTAAATAAAATATTCCTAAAGAGAAATAAAAATGGGAGCTTATGTAACTTAGATGTCACTTACTGTAAGTAATAGGCCTTGTTCTAAGAGCTTCACATGCTCAAACACCCCCCTCCCAAACAAAGTTCCTGGGGGATAAATCACTACTGCAACCTCTATCCGTGCTTTACACTTCAGGCCCCCAGTGCTCCAACAATGGCAGAGTACTTACAGCTGTGAAAACTGGCTCCTGGTCTGGAGAGGGCGCTTGCCTTGCACATGGCTGGCCAGGGTTCAATCCTCAGTACTGCCTGTCATCCCACAAGTGCTTACCAGAAGTAATCAGCGAGCACAGAGCCACAAATAAGTCATGAGCACAAGTGGCTATGTGGCCCTAAAACAAAACGGGCCTTCTGTGTGATCAGCCTCCAAGAGGTTTAGGCAGTGTGGCCCAGGCCTTCCCGAGCGCCAGCCCCCTCTCTGCCATGCAACTCACTCTTTTACTAGACCAGATGGTCTCACCATGGCCTTGGCCTTCCTTCATCTTCCTCCTATTTTAAGCTCATCATTATCACAGGCCAAGGAGTCTAAGGCATCTACCCCTCAACTGGACCAACCTGCCTGTTTCCTCACCTGTCTTTATTTATTTATTTATTCAGTGTTTTTATTTATTAAATGTATCACCGTGAGGTACAGTTACAGCAGACTTTCGTGCTTGCCTTTCTCTCATACAATGATTGAGTACCCATCCCTCCACCAGTGCCCATTCTCCATCACCACTAATGTTCCCAGTATCCCCCCATACCCTTCCCCCTTCTTTTGCTCTCTCTCTCCTTTTTTTTTTCCCCTTTTTGGGTCACACTCATCGACGCACAGGAATTAGTCCTGGCTCTGCACTCAGGAATTCCTCCTGGTGGTGCTCAGAGGACCAAATGGGATGCTGGGATTGAACCGGGTTGGCCCGCGTGCAAGGCAAACACCCTACCCACTGTGCTATTGCTCCAGGCCCCCCCCCCCCCTTTTGGGTGTTGTGGTTTGCAATACAGGTATTAAGTGGCCATCATGTTCGGTCTACAGTCTACTTTCAGCACACATCTCCTTGCCTGTCTTTATCTTCCACAACTGTCTTTTAAAAAAAACTGAATCACCGTGAGATAGTTACAAAGGTGTTCATGATTGAGTTTCAGTCACACAATGTTCTAACACCCATTTCTTCACCCAGAGCACATTCCCACATTCCTGGCCGGCCACCAATCCCAAGTATCCCAAGTTTCCCTTCCTTCCCCCATGCCCACCTCCAGTCTGCCTCGATGGCAGACACTACCCTTCTCCCTCCTTTCAGGTACTTGCGCCTGATAATTCTCCCACATCCACGACTGTGTTCGCGGGTCCCTCTGCTTGGAACCCTCTCTCCAGACTCTCTCAGGCCCCCTCCTCCTCCAGGGAGCCTTCCCTGTACGGTGGCCTCTCCTTTGACTCACGGGTCACAGAGGGAGGGGATCGGGAGATCGCGCAAAGGGAGGGGATGCAGAGTCACGGTCCGAGGTTTCATCCTTGGCACCTCCTCACCTCCCTGACACTGCTGGGCATCCTTGGCACCTCCTCACCTCCCTGACACCGAGGCGGCCCGCCCCCTCCCCCCTCCGCTCCGTGCTCATCCTCCGACCACCGTCGGGCACCGTCTGCTCCTTCCGGGAGCCCCGCCAGAGGCTGACTCCTTCTCAGGTGCGCAGGAAATGCTCGGTGGGCCGGGCGGGAGCCGTGAGACTGGTAGGTGGCAGCGAGACAGACTTCAAGGGACTCTGGTGTCTGCCCAAGGTGACCTCCACTTCCTTTGCCCGCGCCCGCAGGGGCGAACCGGAGACCCGGCCGCGTGGGTTCCAGGCAGGTCCGCAGGGGCCTTCCTGGGCGGCCGGAGCGGTCCCCGGCGCGGTCTCCCCGGTGGCCGCGGAGTGACGTGGGGGATAATTGAAGCCCCGAGGCTACGCGGTTGGCGAGCGGGGCCGGGCCGGGCGGGCGGCGCGGGTCGGGGCGGGGGCGGAGCGGGGCGCGGGGCCGGGCGGGGACTCCGCTAAATTTACCCGGGCTGACTCAGCCCCTGCCCGGAATGGGGGTCGGGAGGGCGCCAGCCGGGTGGGGTGGGGGGCAAGGCCTGGGGAGAGGAGCCGGGGGTGGGCCGGGAGTTTCCATCAAAGAAAGGGCGTCCCCTCCGCCCCCCAAACGCGCGCAGCGGGAAGGCGCGGAGGAGCCCTGGGGCAGGACCGCGGCGCGCGACGGGCCCGTCGGAATCAGGGGGATGCCGAGGCCGAGCCGAGGGAAGCTTCGATTTATTGAGCGCCCACCGTGTGCCAGGCACTGTGCGCGGCGCTTTACATACATTATCGCATTAAATCCTCACAACAACCCTGCGAGGTAGGTGTTTAGAAACCCCCATTTGACAGATGAGGAAACTGAGGCTCAGGGAGGTGAAGTGATTTGGCCAAGTGCACATGGCTAGAAATGGCAGACGGAGGAGGTGGCCACGATAGCAGAGGAGAAAAGACTTCGGTTCCTGGGCCCCGAGCGGGAGGTCCGAGAGGAGCGAGGGCTTGCGCGCTCCCAGACCCGGGAGCTCAAAGGCCCGCGGCCCACCTCGCGCGCCTGGACTGGAGGCCGCTGGGGACCTGCGCGCAGGAGGCACTCGGGGCTACTCGGGCAATCCGCGACCTGCGCGCGCCCCGTAGTGGCTACAGCGAGTATCACACCCCACGCCTGCAGGCTTCAGGGACCAGCCTCTCTCTTCTTCCCTCCCTAGCAAGTTTCTGGAAGAGAGATGCAAAAACAAAAAAGAAAGAGAGAAAAAGAGAAAAAACCCACCAGGGTTCCTTCGGTTGGATCATACCACTGGGTGGGAAATCGTGGTAATGGTTCAGAGCATCACTAAGGAACACGGGGGAGGGAGAGAGGGAGGCCTAAAGGGTCCCAAGCTGATTCATTGGCTGCCTTCCCTCCCCAGCTTGGACCACCACAGGCCAAGGAGAGTGACGAGGCCACCATCCTACCCTGTCTTGGCCGGCCCTCACCTAAACCTGGCTGGTCTAGGAGCCCTTGAACACTGAGGCGAGCTCTTCTGCAAAACCTGGACAGTCTCCAATTGGGAGTGAGTGCAGGTGGATGAAGCAATCTCCCAGCCCTTGGACTGTCCACCCGTCCTCAACTCTCTTTCTTCCTTGTAGAAGGAAGGACAAACTGGAGGCCTCTCCCAAGCACTCCGAAGGGTCAAGGATAGAGCCCACAACCGCCTGGTGAGGGGATTGCCTAATCAAGGTGACAGAGCTGGGATTTGAGCTGAGGCCTGTGGCAGCTACAGGGTGAGCTCTCTCCTACCTGTGCTCATTGCTTCTGGACCACTTCCTCTCTGACACCTGGGAACCGCCCCTGTGGCGCCTCTCCATCCCTTTCTCCTGCTCTGGGGGTGTCGCCTACGAGGTGTCCTCCTGCTGCTCCTGGCTGGATCTGGGCTGGATCCCACACCTAGTGCAGGGCCCTTGCCCAAGGCCTGGCCGGGGTGGGTGTGGGCGGGCACTGCAGTCTGCTGCCCCCTCTCACCTCTCCTGACAAAGAACAGCCCCCGTGTCCGAAGTGTCCGAGTCCCCCCACTTTCCTTTCATGTGAGAGGCTTGATTTCAGCGTGGGGGCCGGTCTGGGTAAAGGGTTCAAGGAGATCTGAGAGCAAGGGAACCCGCCGCGCCCGTTCCCGGGGTCCCGCGGGGACGAAGGTCCCAGGGGAGCCTAAACACAGGGCCTGTCACTGCCACTCCCTCTTTCCCTGTGGTGTCCCCTTAACGTTCCTCGCCCCGACGAGGCCGTCCTCGGTTCGGCCGATGGCACCTAGGATGCCTCGCAGGTGGTCGCTCAGCTCCTCGGCCTTGCCTCCGTCCCTGGGCTGCGGGGGGTGCCCAGGCTTGGGCGGGGGGCGCTCCTGTCGCCAGGAGGCGCCCGAGGCCTCCGTGTCGCTCCCCTCGGACGAGCCGCTGTGCGCGCTGAGCTCCGCAGCCTCGTCCGAGTCCGAGTCCGGGGCGGTGTGGCGGCGGATGCGGGACACGGCTTCCCGCAGGGCGCCCGCGTAGGGCCCGGGGCTCCGCGGCCAGCCACGGCCGGCGCGGCGCGGGATCGCCGCCGCCGCCTCCCCCGCGCCCTCGGCCTGCCTCGCGTTGCCCGGCGCCGCCGGGCCGAGAGCCGAACGCCCTGGGCTGCCCGGCGGCGCGGGGGCTTCCTGCGGGCTGGCTTCGCCGGCCGGGAGCCCCGGGATGCGCGAGCCGCGCGCCTCCTCCTCCTCCTCCTCCTCCGAGGAGTCCCCCGGCGTCCCGCCCGTAGCGTCGAACTCGCGCTCCCCACCCGGCCGCTGTGCGCGGCGGCTGCTCCGCAGCAGCTTCTGGCAAGGGGAAGGCAAGGGCTCGGGCCACTCGCGCTCCTCCTGCTTGGGCGTGGGCTGGCTCGGGGGGCCACCCTCCTCGCTGGGGGCATCGCCCTCCACGCGCGGCCCCGCCGCGGGTAAAAGCCGCACCTGCTGGGCTCGAGGGGTGGGCACGTACTGGGACCGGATCACCACGCGCGTGGCGTCAATCACAAAGACGCCGTCTCCGCCGGCGGGACCCCGGGACCGGCGGGGCAGGGTGTGGGCGCGGCGGGTCGCCTTCCAACCCTCCGGGGCCTCGGGGCCCGCTCCCTCCCTCTGCCCCAGGAACTCTCCCCATCCCGTGCCTCCGGGAGCCCAGGGCCTGGGGAGGGTCTGGCTCTGTCGGGGCGGCGGCTTCTTACTGGAGGGCGGCCAGCATTTGGGCGGCCAGCTCTGCTCTCCGCCTTCTTTCCCTTCCCCGGGCCCTCTGAGCTGGGGCCTGGCCCTGGGGGCAGGGCGCGGGCGGCTGGGAGTCGCGGTTGCAGACCCCGCGGGCGCGGTCTCCGCGGCGGGACGACCCGCAGCCGGCGCGGGGTGGTGGGCATCGCCGCCGCTGCTCGGACCCGTGGCGCCCAGCCCCGGACTCTTCTCCGAGGCTCCCCCGCCAGGGTGCACCCTCGGCCTGACCAGTCCGGAGCCCGGGGCACCCCCCAAGAGACCCCGCCCCTGTCGGAGACCCCAGGCGCCGAGGACGTCGCGGTAGATCCGAGGATCCAGCCTCTTCTTCGTGCTCCCGCCCTCGGTCCCGGCCCGAGTCGGGGTCGGAGCAGGGGCTGACGCCACGGGCGCTCGCGACGGCTCGGGGCCGCGTTTGGTCCCTAAGGTCCGGTGCGGGCCTTCGTAAGAAGGAGGAGCCACGTAGGGGGGCGGCCGGTCCCAACGGTGGCGCGGGGCCGTCGCGGCCGCGCCCCGCAGCAGCAAGTGGGCCTCGTAGCTGGGGGGTCCTGGCCGGCGACCTCCCCAGGGCCCCGCCCACGCCGTCCCCGGGTCGCCCGGCAGCTGCGCGGCTGGACGGGGCGGGCGTCCCATGGGCCCCGGGCGCTCCCGCCGGGAGGGAGCGGGGAGCCCTGCGGGCTGGGCCCCCCGAGGCGCGCCCTGGGGGTCCGGGCGGGGCCGACTGGGGGGGCTCCTTCGGGCCCCACCAGCCTTGCGCCGCTTTCTCTCGGTCTCCTTGGCCTCCCGCTCCTGCGACGCGGCTTTCCTTTTCTCCTGCTCCCGCGCTCGAGCCTCGGCCGGGGGCCCCGCCCGCCAGTTGGTCGCCTCCTGCAGCACCCTGGAGGCCCAGGGCCGGCGAGGCGGCGACTCGGGGGATCCCAGGCGCGGCCCACACCTGGGACAATGAGCAGGAACCCAGGTGAGCAGTTTGTAGGGGAAGGGCGCGGGGAGCACCGGAGAGCACTCGGGACGGGCGCGCGGAGGGGCGTGTGAGCGTGCGGGGGCGTGTGCACGTGCCTCTACGTGCGGGCCGAACTCGAAGCCGGACTCACCTCGTCCCCGGGCACACTTCAGCAGCGTCTGCCCCATCTCACCCCCCGCCCCGCTCACGCACCCCTGCCCTCCGCCCCCGCCCCCGCCCGCCTCGCTGCTGTCGGGTCTCGGTCCTCGGGGATGGGGGCGGGGAGCGCAAGAAGGAGCAGGGGGACCAGCAGTCGGTCTGGCTGGTGCCTGTAGAGAGGGCCGCCCCCCCTCACCCCTCCTTCACTCACGTGCTGCGCAGGGGCCCCCGGGCCCAGGGCCTGGCTTGGAAGTCCATGGGCTGTCGAGGAGCGCCGCGGCGACTATAATGACAGGAAATAGTCTTCACTTCGATCACCAGCAGCTTGGATTTCTGCACCCAGAGGCAGCTGCCAGACTCCTCATCCTGCAGCTCCTGGGGGCTGTCGGGCCCCTCGGAGAAGAGCTGACCATCCAGCATCCTGCCCCACCCCACCCCGGCCCCCCACCCTCCCACCCGCCCCGAGCCCCCTCCCAGCCCAGGGAGCCGGCGCCCACTGCAGAGCAGCGGGCCCAGCGACTGAGGACTATATATACCCGGACACACGTGTGTGCCTGTCTGTGTGTGCGCGCGCATGTGACACAGCGGACGGGCTCCGCGCGGCTGCCTCCCCCATGTGCTCGGCCGCCCCCCGGGGTCCGGGTTTGGGCGCTCTTCCCCGCTGCTGGTCCCCTCAGACTGATGAGACCTAACCGGTGGGCAGGGGACTTCTTACTCTTGCCAGGCTGGCAGTGCCCCCGCCCCTGCCCCCATTTCTTCAACCTTCCTGCTGGCTTAACTCTTCCCTCTCCAGCTCGCTCTGATGCCTGACCTACCGAGATTCTGCCCCTGACTTCCTGTCTCGGACTTGTTTCCCCAACAGAGAAAGGTGATGGGAATGGAACTCAAGGTCTCTGCCTGCCACTCTGCCGGTTTCCATGGGGCTGGGGTGCGGGGGGGGGGGGGCCTGGCCCACGGCTGGGGGCCTATTTTTAGCAGCAGTGGCAGTTCGGGTGCAGAGAGAAGATGAGTAACCAGCTTCCATGCGGTGGAGGGAGGAGACGATAGCTTTCTGGCAGCTTGTGTGCAGTTCTGGGGGTGAGCTGCCCGCCCCCCACCCTGCAGGCTCAGAAAGGGTGACCCCCACACCTTCTGTCTAAGGAGCTGCCCCAGCATTTCGTGTGTCTCTGGGCACCCAAGGAACCTTTTCCCTGCAGTAGCCTCTTCCCCAACCCAGAAACCAGGAATCTGGGGTTCACGCTGTCTGTTCCCACTGAGCTTTGCTCAGCCTTATGAAAGATGGAAGGTACTTGTGCACCTGCACCCTTGCAGAGGCGAGGGAGTAGTAATAGCGCGCTCCCTTGGCGAACTGGTCCCCTAGCAACCGAAAGGAAAAGCCACTGTCCCTCTGTCCTAGCGCCCTCCCTCCCCACCGCCAGAGCTCACTCAGCCCCTCCAGAAGTAGTGTCAAGAGGCTCACCTTTCGGGTTCATTCTGGCTTGGAGTTGCTTAATCCCCAGGATCCTCTCCGCCCCACCCCCCAGCCATACCAGGTGTCCCCTGATTCACCATGGTAATGTTAGTGGCGGCACAGCCCACGCCAACCCTTCCATGCAGAGACTTAGCAACCATGCCTGGCAACCATGGCAGCAGCTCCGTGTGGGGAGGGGTGCGGAGAGGTTGTTGGGGGGGTGAGGGGAGACTACAGCAGCAACAGTTCCTGAAAAGGATACTTGGCACCTACTCGGAGTAGCGGGGAAGACGTGCAGGCTGTTTCCAACGTCCCTGTGCTCAGAGGGGAAGAGAAGCGCACTTGGGGACGTGGGGCAGGAGGGCAGCAGGGGCAGAGTGGCTTGCCGAGAACCAGAGAAACAGAACAGGCCTCCTACTCCCTAATGTGGACCCTGACATAGACCCAGACACCCCATAATGCCCGCCATCAGGCCCCTTTCATACCTACCCGCTGCACTGGTGGGGGACTTGTGAGAGGTGCTTCCCCTCCTTCTAAGGTCTCAGCAGAATCCCACCGCTTTTAAGCGCTCCCTGCCTCCTCCTCCCTAGACAAACCCTCCTCTGTAATGGAATGTGACATAAGGAGACATCTGTCCTTTCTTCCACGCTCCCCCACCACACACAAACATAATCTGCCTCTGAAACTTAGAAGCCTCCCTCTCTCACGCCTGGGCACATGCCAGGAGGGTTGCGCAGAGGCGAATGTGGAGACGGGCCTTCTCCAAAGCCATGGCGCAGCCCCGAGAGCAGAGCTCGCGCTGCCTCGATAGCCCTCTCTGGGGTTCCAGCAGGAAGCCTGGTCTGCACAAGGCAGTATGGCTCCCTCAGAGCATTTAGCACAGTGTGGTCAGAGCAGAGTTACTCTGAAACTGCATCAGTTCTGAGAGAGAGAATGAATCATAGCAGCAACGCTGAGGCAGGGTGTGTGTGTGTGTGTGTGTGTGTGTGTGTGTGTGTGTGTCTTAGAACTGGCCATAGCAGCAAAACTGAGGCATGGCAGGGTGTGTGTGTGTGTATCTTAGTACTGGGCATAAAAAAAAAGTGTGTGTGTGTGTCTTAGAACTGGCCCAGACCCGTCTAGCCATCCTGATGGTGTTTGGTACCACTGTTTTAGTCAACATGGTCTCAGCACAGGAAAAAGTTTAATCAAGGTGCTGGAAGGTAGTATAGCAGGTAGGGTACTTGGCTTGCCTGTGGCAGGCCCAGTTCGATCTCTGGCACCCAGAGATCTCTGGTACTCAGGAGCCACTCCTGGTGGGTTCTCAAGTTCCACCAGGAGTGGTTCCTGAGCACAGAGCCAGTAGCAAACCCTGAGCGCTGTTAAGTATGGCTCCAAAATCAAAACTAAAATCTAAAAAGATCTGATTAGGCAGCCAGTCCCGCTACACCTCAGCCCTCACTCTTCAGCTCATTATTGCCCTGGAAAAAAGGCGAGAGGTTCGGAAATCCAAGGTGGGGGCCAATTTAGCAAACTCTAAAGTCCCCTAAGAGAAGCTGATGGTGAGAACAGGTGTTTCTAAGTAAATCCTCAGTCTTTCTGGTCTCTGGATAATTAACAGTCACGGGATTTTCCTTGGATCCCAAATACAGCCTGTGCTAGGAAGAAAGTGAAACAAATTGCAGGGCTGGTCCAGGGGTGGCTCGATGGCTAAGAAAGTGGGAGTCACCAATTCGATCCACTCATCAATTTGATCCGGTGCCACTAACAGGTGCCAAGTGCCAGCCTGGTGATCCTATTGCTTGGGACTCCTGGCACTGCAACAAAGTACACAATCTCTGGCACACCACTCATACGCAAACACCTCAACAGCTATGCGTGACACCTGGTGGAGACACAACTACAGAAGTGAGAAAGTTTGCAGTCAGACGTGTGACCCCCAATGAGCACTGCAACTAGAGGCATTTGGTCCTCAGTTATAGCAACAATACCAAAACGAAGAACTGGAAAGAAAAGAGAAAAAACGGATTGGAGTCATAGTATAGTGGGTAGGGCACATGCTTTGCACACAGCTGACCCAGGCTCAATCCTTGGCACCCATTACAGCACCCCGCGCCTGCCAGGCATGAGCCCTGAGCACAGAGCCAGGAGTAAGTCCTAAGCACTGCCAGGTCTGACCAAAAACAAAACAAAAAACAAAAACAGAACAACAACAAAAAACAATTACCAGTGGAGGATTGAAAGGCTGAAATATAAAAAACATGAGCTCTGGAGTCAGTCTGTTTAGCTTCAAATCCTCGTTCTACACTTTTATAAGCTGTGTGACCTGAAGTTGTTTAGCTTCTCTGTCTCAAGTTGAAAAATAAATCTATGGTTGGAGAGACTGTACAGAGCATATGGCACAGGGCCAGAGTGATAGTACAGCAAGTAGGACTCTTGCCTTGCACTCAGCCGACCTGGGTTCAATATCCAGCATCCCATATGGTCCTGAGTCCTGCCAGGAGTGGTCCCTGAGCTACAGAGCCAGCAATAAGTCCTCAGCAACCCCCTGTTCCCCTCACAGAAAAAATCCAGTAAAACAGAGAATACGGTTGCTTGCTCTACATGCAGAGGGACTGACTTTGTTCTTTAGCACATGTGGTCCCCCTGTGCACTGCCCGGAGTGACTTCTGAGTGAAGAGCCAAGAGTATCATCAGGTGCGGTTCAAAAAAAAAGAAAAAGATTGATACTTGGCATATTGTGCGCGTGCGCATGTGTGTGTACAACTATGTGACTGTCTTATTACTATTGCTTCATTGTTCTGGCGAGTCGACAAAGCTGTGTGAAGCAGGAAGGCTGGAGCAGTAGTGTCTATCAGCTACACAAATCAAATCACACAGTGCAATACCACGAAGAGGTTCCTGCCATTTTAATTAAGTTTGTCACGAAAAGCAATAGCCTCAGCTAATCATTCTGCCCTCCTCCACATAACCCCCAATTCCCGTCCTACATCTGCCTACAGTGCAGAAACCAAAGGCCCTCCTCCCCACTCCAGTATGGAAGAAACGTCACAAAGTGGACTCAACCTTCTCCATACAGTATGAAACAGAAGGGAAAAGTAATTATGAAGACTTAGCTGTACTGTCGTCTTTGGATGAAGTTGGGGACAGAGACAGAGGCAATGGCTGGTGAGGTCTGGGGATCTCTCGGAGATCAGTTTGCCTGAGAGGCACAGAGCCCATCGTTTACCCAGAAAGGGGGCTATGTCTAAGAGCATGGGGGTTGGATGGGCTAGGATCTATAATTTTCTCAAGTGGGAGGACAAGGACTACTGAAAATCCACTTTCCTTCCTCCCTGGCATTTCCCCAGCTCCCATGCAGAACCGAGGGCTCCCAAGCAATGCAGTCGATTCCCTCCTGGTTTCGTGCGTGGCTCCAGAGCTTTGTTCGGGTGTGCCGTGAGGGGGTGAATAATCCCCTGGTGCTGCCTGGCCCCGCCTGGCTCAGGGCTTCTTCTCTCCTCCTGTGAGCACCAGGGCCTGCAGGATGTCAGACAGGGACACGATTCCCTTGACCACATCGTTCTCATCCACCACGACCAGTCGGTGAACCTGGCACAGGGCGCAAAAGAGAGGGGAAGTTGAGTGTCGGCCTCAGCGAGGAAAATCCTTTAGCCCCTACTCTCAAGGCCGCTGCCCCTATACCTCTGCTTCCACCAGCCTGTTGATGATGGTCTCCAGAGTCTCATGCAGGTAGCACTTAAGCACGCCCTCAAAGTAATGTGATCGATGCTGCAGGGCTTTCGTCACAGACACGTCTAGGTTGTTGTAGGTTTTTTCTGCTGCCAGATTCTGGGGAGAAAGAAGGTGCTTGCAGGGAAGCAAGGATGCCCAACCCTAATCCCCGCCAACTTCACCAGAGGGATTTTGTAGCTGTCAACCCTGCCCCTAAGGCACACAACCGGGCTCATTCAATTTCTTCTCAAAACAGATTTGAAAGCTTGGAAGCTTCTAATCCCTTTATATCCCAGAAGAGACTCTGGTCTCTTCCACATCTCACACCCCATTCCTTCCCCCCCCCCCCGCCCCCCCCGCCACTCCCGCCGCCCCCCCATCACTCACGATGACATCAAACTTGGAGTAGATATCCACCACACGCCCTAGGGGGACAGAAGCGGTTCAGCAGGTGCCCTAGAGCCACCCTGCCTCCCTAAAGCCCGCTCTCAGGTCCGATCTCTCACCCTTCTCATCCACCACCGGCAGGGCCGAGACGCGGTGCTGCACGAAGATGCCCAGAGCCACATACACAGGGGTGCTCGTGCGGACCATCGCGATGTTGGCATAGGTGCCTATCTGGAGCTCTTCCAGAGACTTAGACATGAATTCTGGCTTGGGAAACTCAGTGATCTAAGGGAGGAACCATCAGCTTGTTTTTCTTCTCTCTTCTGATTCTAAGCAATATCTCGTGGTGCTCAGGATGGGAGTGCGGTCAGCTGCACGCAAGCACCTTAACCCCACACTTCTGCTCTGTCCCTTGATTTTCCTTTCCTTTCTTTTCTCTGGCTTGTAAAAGTCGGCACTCTGTCACTACATCACATCCCTGCCTCCCATCCCCCCACCACCCTGGGATGCCCCTCTCACCCAGACCGTCAGAGACAATTTGGCTGAGGAAACACTTACAAACAACTTGAGAAACTTGAGGATGCGCTTGTGAGTAAGGATGTACAGGGTGTTGCCCGATTCCGGGTCAATAACTGGCAGCCTGTGGATCTTGTTTTGGATCAGCGAAGAGACAGCATCAAATAAGCTGGAGGGGGATGGGGAGAGTCAAGTTCTGTAGAGCTGGGACTGAACATGTTCAATAAGCTCTTTCGAATCGGTTTTTGGACAGGGAAACTAGTAGCCGGGGAGGAGGGTGCTCAGGGCAGACCTGAAGAACGGTTGCGTACGTTTGGGTTGTGTCTGTTTCTTTTCTCCCTCTGTCCCGTAGATCCCTGGTTATCTAAGGCGTTAGTTATACTATGGCAAGACTCAGGGAACCTTCTAAACAAATGGGTGCCAACTGGAACTCACCTGGCATTCGGAGAAATGCAGACGAGTGGCTTAAAGGAGTCCTGTAGGTACACTTCTGAAGAAAATGGGGGGGGGGGTTCACATAATGATAAAGCCACTCTGGAAAACTACTTCCCAAGGACCCCCAGCCCCCAACCTTTATCTTCTTCTCTACATACCTCTCCAGGTTTCTATCTTATGTTCTTCCAGCTCATAGATCTGAACCTGGAAGCAGAATCAATACTATCTGAGACTGGATTTTCCTGTTTAATAACCCCTTGTGGTTTGTCTGGAGAAAATAAATTAAGAAGTTTTGTCATCGAGTAAGGTTCCTTACCAAAGCTGATTTATAGTAGCGGTGCAGAATATTGATGAAATCTGTGATGGTCAACATGCCTAGGGGCCAAGACAAGAGCCCTAAGCACTGTTCAAAGCTTCTTTCCCTACCCAGCATATGAGGCCAGTAATACTGTGCTGCAGGAAATTTCACTTACCCACAAAACTTTGCTTCTTACTGTCCCACAAAGGGGCAGCTCGTACACCATTAGTGACCAAAGCAAAGAATGCTTTCTTCACCTGTAGCCAAAAAGGAGTTATAATCACAGAAGGAAATTCATAGGGAGCAGGGCATTGAAAGAACAGGGGTTGGGTGCGTTGGGAAAAACATGAACTTAACCCCATGGAAGTAAAAAGATATTATTAATACTTGGGATGGCACAAGAAGTACTGACCCTGAGTTTCCAAGAAAAGGGTTTCACCTACCTGCAGGGAAGTATCAAATACAACCAATTTGGAGCTTGTGGGAATCAGGTCATAGCATCGATGAGATTTCATGAAGGAAGTATACACAGTATTGTTGGATTCTGGAGTCTCTGCATAGGATGAGACAGTTAGTGTCCTTCTTCGCAACAACTCACCATCAAAAGAGGCACAAAACAGTAGTAGTTGCTTAAATATTAAGAGTGGGAGGAGGGGGATATGGGTCATTGGTAAAATATATGCTCTGCAAGCATAAGGCATCCTTCAAAAATATTTATGGCATGATTTGCTACAGAACCACTATGCAAGCTGTTTTGTTCCCATTGTTCCGACAAAACCAGGATAATCCGCCCCCCAAGAACCATCTCATTCAATCTATATATCCAGATAGAATTATATTAACTCCAAAAGCAAGAGGGCTGACTGAAATAGAAAATCTATGCCATTTATTAATCAATTACAGTCTAAAAGTGTTTTTTTTTTTTTTGCTTTTTGGGTCACACCCGGCCATGCAGGGGTTACTCCTGGCTCATGCACTCAGGAATTACTCCTGGCGGTGCTCGGGGGACCATATGGGATGCTGGGAATCGAACCTGGGTCGGCCATGTTGGCTGCGTGCAAGGCAAATGCCCTACCTGCTGTGCTATCGCTCCAGCCCCTAAAAGTTTTTTTTTTTCCAGCCTGAACTGATATATGTTACATTCTTCTATTTTTGTTTTTCGAAGAAATTCTTCTAAGATTTATTTTTTTTAAGTTTTGGACATTAATTTTTTGTTTTGGGGACATATTCGGTGGTGCTCACAGCTTACTCCTGATGGGCTCAGGGGGACCATTGGTCTGCCAGGGATCAAATCCGAATCTGCTGCATACAAGGTAAGCACCCTACTCGCTGTACAATCTCTCTGGGTCTTCTTCAAAGATCTTAAGATGAGAATGTTATGGTTCAAGATGGACCATTTCAGATCAAAGGAAGTTGGAATCAACTTGTCCAGACAAAACAAGTCTATTAAGGGATGACCCTGGCTATGTATACTTTTCTATTCCTCTGTTTAAAAAAAATTTGGGGGGGGCGGCTGGAGTGATAGCACAGCGGGTAGGGCGTTTGCCTTGCGTGCAGCCAACCGGGGTTTGATTCCCAGCATCCCATATGGTCCCCTGAGCACTGCCAGGAGTGATTCCTGAGTGCAAAGCCAGGAGTAACCCCTGAGCATCTCCAGGTGTGACCCAAAAAAAAAAATTTTTTTTTGGGTGGGGGGGTTACTCCAGCTCTATGCTCAAGAATTACTCCTTCTTGATGGGGCTTGAGGTGCTGGGGTCTATCAAGTGCCAGATAAGTGACCCACCCACTATACCATTTCTCTGACCCTTTTAAATCATAATTTAAGATTCTTAGGGGACAGGGCGACAGCTGAAAGGGCTGAAATGCACGAAGTTCAAGCCCTGCACTACTGGGCACATAGCCTTGGTAGCCCCCAGCATTGCTGGGAGGTCCTCCCCCCAAACCCAACACAACAAAAACCTTTAAAGCTAATGGAACATCTAAGCCTGTAAATAAACTCTGTGGACTGTGAGTTATTTAAATGAGGAATACTCAAAACTTGTATTTAGGGATTTTTAAATAATTTATAAATTATAAATTTCTTATAATTTAGGGGATTCTAGAGATAATTCAGTTTCGGGGTTGGAGGGTGAAGTCTCTTCTGTGAACATTCCGGAAACCGGAGAGGGGTAAAGTGATAGGTCTCAGCATCCAGGTCCAGTCTATTTCAGGCCCCTGCTTTGAGTGCGGAAACCTCTCTCTCCCTTAGCTATGCTTATCTCTCTAGTCTATGCTGTAGTGGAGAAGTTGAGTTGCCTGACTCTATTCAGTGGAGCTGACCTCCTAGGGGTCTGGCTTCTTCTTTCCTTTCAGAATTTATTTCGTATTTAGTAACTATGCAGTCACAAAGTTCTTGATGACTGGGTCCCAGGCATACACTGTTTCAACACGAATCCCTTTCTGAGTGTTCACTTCCCTTCCCCAATGCCCCCCAACCCACATTTGCCTCCCAAGCACCAGTTTGCTTCTACAAGAGGCAATTTATTCTTTTTTAAAGTTTTTTTGCTTTTTGGGTCACACCTGGCGATGCACAGGGGTTACTTCTGGCTCTGCACTCAGGAATTACTCCTGGCAGTGCTCAGGGAACTATATGGGATGCTGGGAATCGAACCTGGGTCGGCTGCGTGCAAGGCAAATGCCCTACTCGCTGTGCTATGGCTCTAGCCCACAAAAGACAATTTATCTATCTACCTCCCTACCTTTGTGTGTACACACACACACACACCCTGGCTTAATAATCAAGATTTCTTTGTTCTCCCTACTTTCACTTTATAATTCAGCATTCTTGGCTCTGCATTTTTCCATCTACTTTCTAACTTTGAAAAATTTATTATTCCCTCTCCTATATTTCCTATTCTTGTGAGTTTATACTTAATCAAAAATACTCCTCTAGGGGCCAGAGAGATAGTCCAGAAGGTAAGCTGACCTGGGGTCTAGCCCATATAGTCCCTTGAATACTGCCAAGAATGATCTCTGAGCGAAGAACCAGGAGTAAACCCTGAGCCCAGCTGGGTGTGGTCCCCAAACTGAAACTACAAATCAAATTCTTTTCCGATGGTTTCATTGGTTTTCTGTGAAGAAATGAAAGTGGATGCATGTATTTTAATGTACCTTAAACTGGAAGCCCGCCACTGTTTCTCAAGCTACATAGTCAGTGTTATGTCACCAGCTCATGCACATGGTGCCTACACCCATGTGCTGCCCAAATTTCCTCTCCCTTGAGACTTTCATACTTGAATGCCAGGATGTGTACTGGGTCTTTGTCCACCTCCGAGAAGCCCGTGCTCTCTCTTGAACATGTCTTTCTTCTCCTCTCATCTCTTCCCATCCCCCCCTTTCTCTGTCTTCTAAATAAAAGCTGTTTTTACTTCACTGCTTATTTCCTACCGAAAATTCTTTTTCTCTGAGGAAAAGACAATAGACTAGAACAGACTGGGTAAAGTCTAGAACTACCTTTAAAAAAAAAGAAAAAGAAAAAGCACAACTCAGACTTTTTTTTTTTGCTTTTTGGGTCACACCCGGCGATGCTCAGGGGTTACTCCTGGCGGTGCTCAGGGGACCATATGGGATGCTGGGAATCGAACCTGGGTCGGCCGCGTGCAAGGCAAACGCCCTACTCGCTGTGCTATCTCTCCAGCCCCCACAACACAGACTTTTGGGCCAGCGAGATAGTACAGAGGGTGGAGCGTTTGCCTTGCATGCAGCCGACCTGGGTTCAATCCCCACCACCCCAGATGGTACCCTGAGCACAGCCAGAATGGCTCCTGGGTGCAGAGCCAGGAGTAAACCCTGAGCAACAAAACACAGGACAGGAGAGATAGTACAGCCAGTAGGGCCGGAAATAACTACAGATCATTGGTGGGTGTGGTCCCCCAAAGCACACAAAAACAGCTGTGGAGACTGTACTTGGCATGTGTGGATGGCCAGCACTGCGTATGAAATTCACAGGCTCTCCCTGGCCCAGTCATCCCCTGGCCCACCATAATTCCTGTATACGCAGTGGGTTTAGAGATGTTGCAGATGACAAATCCTAGTGCCAATGTTTTGGGGTACCAGGAAATACTAGGTCCCACAGTCATGTATCCGTAGGTCTAGACGCAGGTAACTCTGTTGGGAGGCGTGAGTGCAGTGTCTGGAACGCAGCAGTGGCATGACGGCAGGACGGGCATTTAGAAACTTTCTCCTGCTCTCTGAGCGAGCACTAGTTGAAAGTCAAGCTGAGACTACAGCTGACCCAAGTCTGAAAAATCTCTGGGAAAAATACTGCAAGCAACAGTGACTGCTCCATTGGATCTGGTTCCAAGGGGAGGGGGGAAAAGATCCAGCCAGTAAGATCCAAAGAGTTGGAGATGAAAGTTCTTCTGTCAGAATATGGAGGCACCAAAATGGCTGTAGATGACTTAGATTATTAAAAACAATTTTTTTTTACAGCATACCCAGCTGTGCTCAGGGCTTCCTCCTGGCTCTATGCTCAGGGATCACTCCCAATGGACTTGGGGGACCATATGGGACACCAAAGATCGAACCTGAGTGGGCTCCATGCAAGGCAAATGCCTTATGTCTTACCCCACTATACTATCTCTCTGGCCCCACAGGATCATTCCTTAGAGATGGGGACATTCTTAGAGAGTATGCAGACGGAAATAAAAATCACTTTTTTTTTTTTTGGCAGGAGAGGGGTGAGGGCCACACCTTAGGGCTTACTCCTGACTCTGCACTCAGGAATCACTCCTGATGGAGCTCAAGGGACCATATCAGGTGCCAAGGAGTCAACCTGGATCGGCCACGTGCAATGCCAGCACTCTCCCCACTATACTGAATCTCCAGCCTCCAATACTATTGAAATGGCACTCCATGAAGCTTCCCAATTCACTGAAGCTCTGAAATCTTTCATTATGTAAATAATTTTCATGTCTCTCTTTCTTATAATAATTAATGACAAAAAAGAAAAAAAAATACCAGCCACTTTAAAAACATGATCAGTCCGGGGCTGGAGAGATAGTACAGTGGGTAGGGTGTTTGCCTTGCTGATCTGAGTTCCATCCCTGGCATCCCACATGGTTCCCCGAGCACAGCCAGGAGTTAATTCCTTAGTGCAGTCAGGGGTGTGACCCAAAAAACAGAAAGAAAAACAAAACATTAGATAAACAACCACAAAAACAATTTGGTCAGTCTGTCCAGAATTGCATATGGAAGGTCTTCCCTGCAGCACAAAAGTTTCTCTCCAGTAGACTGATAACTAAAGATATTAATCATTGCCATTCTGCCCATGATTTTTTTCCTGGGTGATACTGATTTATATTGTTTGGGTATTATCAGGCCCAGGTTGGTTTTCCTAAAAGGGATTCGGAGAAAATTCACGAACTTTGTTGAAGCAAACCCAGTTTCCTCGGGGACCAGATGTGGTACCAAGGATTCAACATGGGTTTAGAGGGATGCAAGGCAAGCATTTTATCCTCTGTACCACCTCTCCTGTCTCCCACTGCCTTTCTTCAGTGAACTTACCTTGAGGTTGTTCATTTTCTAGAGCTGGAGAAATATCTGGAGAAGTGACCTGGAGAGACAAGAAAAATAAGGAGTCAGTCTATCCTAGGCACCATTTATTTCAGTCTGGTAGTAGTAGGGACAGGGTTGATGAACTAAGACTCTCCTTGAAAGCACATAGGCTGTAGCCTGAGCGATAGTACATCAGGGAGGGCGTTTGCCTTGCTTGTGGCCGACCTGGGTTCGATCCTCGGCATCCCACATGGTCCCCCCCCAGCACTGCCAGGAGTGATTACTGACTGCAAAGCCAGGATTAACTTCTGAGCATTGCTGGGTAGGCCCCCACGCCAAAATAAAAAGCAGTGTATGATCCTTTCAAAATATTATCATTTAATCTTTATAACAGCTTGACATAAATAATATTACTAGTCTTATCTTCATATATTAGAAAACTGAGGCTTAAGAAATACTAAGAAAATAATATTAATCTGCCCTCTGTCCAAGGTCAAATGGCTGGTAAGGGGGAAAAACATGAAGTTGAACCCAGATCTGTGTGGTTCCAAAGCTCATGTCCTTTCATACTCACTGCTTACTGAAACATTAGGTCTTAAAAGTTGCAAGTAGAAAATCTAAGCTTAGGAGGCTGGAGAAGATAATACATCAGGTACGGGGCTTGCCTAGCATTCGCCCAACCCAAGTTTGATCCCCAGCATGCCATCTGGTTTCTGGAGCACCACCAGAAATAATTCCTGAGTGCAGAGCGAGGAGTAAGCCCTGGGCATCACCAGGTGTGCGCCCCCCCCCTTCAAAAAAAAAAATCTCAGCTTAGGGTTGGCCTCATGATATTCTCACAGATCTTTATAAAAACATGAAAGTATGGGGCTGAAGAGAATACAGTGGGTAGCTTGTCTCATCTGCAATTTAATCTCCAACATGCCATATGGTACCACCAGGAGTACTGCCCTGGGATCTCTGAGCACTGCTCTGGAAACATTCCAGAGTACTGCCAAGAGTGATCCCTAAATGCAAAGTTAGAAGCACTGCAAGATGAGGCTCCAGAACAAACAAAATCAAACACACTCCACATGTAAATCAGAGGAATAACACTGCTTTTCTCCATACTCTCACTAAGCAGCCGAGCACACTGAAATCAGAGGTACTCCTGATCACTGAAAGCCAAACTGGGGGAGGATCCCAGCAACTACTGTCAAGAGTCAAAGTTTGTATGATGAGGTCCGGAGGCAGGGTACAAATGTTCGATAACTGGGAAAATGGGTCCTCTCAGCACCCTTGTGAGTCAAAAGTCACGATAGACTAGAGGATATTGATTTTTTAAGTTGCTTTCCCCATGACAAGATGATCCATTAAAGAGTGTTTAATATACAGAGACACCTTTAAAACCATCTCTGTGCTCCTTCAGGTGAAATATTAGGAATATTTCAGTGATGACTGAAATAACAGTGATGACTGTTATCCAGGAACCCAGAAGGGATCATGATAATTTCCACCCACAGAATCAACAGTGTGGGTCCATTTGCTCTGGATAAACTAACTTAAAAGTCATACTTCACTTCTTCGCTTTTGTGGTAATAAGGAATGAACGGCCTTGGCAATTACCTGGAGGCTGGCTGTTGTACAAGGAGTAAGTCAGCCTGAAACTTCCCTCACCTAATGGCCAGGATGGGGACGGGGAAGGAGCTAATCTTCCTTACTTCTTTCTGGGTTGCATAAAACGATCAGTTCAGCTTGGCACTGAACCAACAACCTCACCACTCCTAAGTAGAAGCTACACACATTCACCTATGTAAAGACAGAGAGATGGTTACTTCAGCAGAAATTATTGTATTCATCTTTTGGTAAGACTTTGTTATGCTATAGCTATTCTGTTCATTATACATACAAACTGATTACAAATTCCTAGAAGCCGAGACCATCTTATACTTCTTCGCATCCCTTGTACTGCGCTGGCATTGTAGTTCAACAAATAATCCTCAACGGTTTTGCTTTTTTATCAAATTGGTAATAACAATACACACTCAGGAACAGAAAGACAGGAGACTAAGATATATATAGAGAAGAGGAGCACATCTAGAACTACAGACACCTATTATAAAAGAATTTGTTGAAGCAGGGAGGGGGGGAGGAAATGCTGATTTTCATGCTGGAGAAACAGCTCAAGAGCTTAGGGATCAACCTCTGCATGTAAAAGACCAGGGTTCAAACACCAGGATACCACAGAGTCCCCTGGGCAGAGCCAGGAGCAGCTTCTGAGCCATTGCCAGTGTGGCCCCCAAAACAAAAAAAGATGTTTTTTGTGTTTTATTTTATTTTATTTTTTGTGTGTGTTTTGAAAGAGTGAAAATATTGAGGTTTCTTTTGCCCTTTTCTTCACATAAGAGTAGGCTGTGCTCATTTCTCTCTACTCTTCAGTAACACAGGAGACCTGTAAAATACCACTGTATAATAGAAACACAATTTGTATGTGTCTTATATTTATAATGTGTGTGTATATGTATGGCTGGAGCGATAGCACAGCGGGTAGGGCGTTCGCCTTACAAGCGGCCAACATGGCTGACCCGAGTTCGATTCCTCCATCCCTCTCGGAGAGCCCGGCAAGCTACCGAGAGTATTGGATATGCCAGACACAGTAACAACAAAGTCTCCAATGGAGACGTTACTGGGCCCGCTCGAGCAAATCGACGATCAAGGGGAGGGCCTTTACCTTTACCTTATATGTATGTAAGCTGGGAATCAAACCAGGCCCTCACACATGCAAGGCATGTATCTACTCATGAGCCACTTGTCTTCATAAATACAAAATAGTTTTAGATACACAAGCTAAACTGACACAGACTCACAATTTCTTCCAGATTCCTAATCCATATTTCTATTTCCATGCTCAGAACTACAGATGTCAGACTCCCAAACTATTTCAAAATAAAACAGCATCTCCCTTAGATACTATTACTCATATCCATCTTTGTCTTGGCTTTTGGGCAACACAGGACAACTGATGTGCAGGGGTTTCCTGGTTCTGCACTCAAGAATTACTCCTGGTGGCTTGTGCACGGAAAGTGCTCTATCCACTACACTATCATTCCAGCTCTCCATCTTTGTTGTTTTCTGCACTGCTGTCTTCCACTGTTGATTCCTCCAAAAAGAAACTATACTGGGAGTGATAGTACAGCGGGTAGGGCGTTTGCCTTGCACGCGGCCAACCCAGGTTCGATTCCCAGCATCCCATATGGTCCTCGAAGCACCGCCAGGAGTAAACCTGAGTGCAGAGCCAGGAGTAACCCCTGTGCATTGCCAGGTATGACCCCCAAAAAAAGCAAAAAAAAAAAAAATCCCCAAAAAACTATACTACCACATCTTCTTTGAACTGTCTTTAACATCTACCGTTAAAAAATGTCTCACTGGATTATTTTTCAAAAAATTTGGAGCGGTCTCCTAAATTAACCAGGAAACCTGGGGCAACACTGGTGATTCTTAGTAAACTACGCCAGTGGTTCATTCAGTGCAAGGGCCCAGAAAAAAATGTTGTTCAGGCCCTGCAATGCTAGGGATTACTGGGGACACCCCAGCAGTATTCAGAGGACTTTCAAGGGCTGCACCCATTGATGCTAGGGAGACCATGATATTGAACTTTGTCTTCAAGACCAAAATAATACGTTGTTTTGTTTTAGAGCCACGCCTGGTAATGCTTAGGGTTTACCCTTGGCTCTGTGCTCAGGAATCACTCCTGGTGGTGCTCCGGGGACGACATGAAGGTACAGGGAATCAAATTGGGGTAAACTGTATGCAATAAAAGTGCCTTGGCTCCTGAAATATCTCTCCAGCCCCCAAACACTAGTTAAAAACAAAAAGAAGACTCAAATTCATCTGTCTCCTTCCCCTTTTCCTATCTTCAACTTGGGCTTTCATCTCTTTGGCAACATTCTCTAATAATTATCTCTGCCCTAAATCTGTTTCCTCTTCTAATTCATCTTTAATGCAGTCATCGAATTGTTTCTCCACACAACTTGGGTTTCATCTCCAGAAGCCAGGAACTCAGTATTTTCTGAAAGTCTGTTCATTTACAGAGCGCAAACTGGCTGCCTTGCTCATAAATCTTCCCTGGGTTCCGAATCTTTCAGGGGCCAGAGAGATAGTACAGCAGGTATGCACTTGCGTTGAATGCAGCCAACCCAGGTTTGAGACCTGGTACCCCATTTGGTTCACCAGAAGTGACCCCTGAGTGCAGAGCCAGGAGTATGCCCTGAGCGTCGCGGGGTGTGGCCCCAAAACACGCAGCCCAGTAAGGTATTCAATAACTGTCCTTTCCTTACTGCTCCAGGTTTTTGTCCCACTGTGACTGAAACCCAAGTTCCAACAACATCAAGCGCCCTAATTAGCGCCTTAATTAACTCCTAATTAATCGCTCCATGCCTACATTTCTATGCTCCTGCTCATACTACTCTCTAAACTGCAGTGGTCCAGGTAATTTCTCCTTTTCCTAAGCTGCCAGAGGCTTCTGTATCTTATACTATTTGCTACAGTCTACCTTAAAAGAAAAGTGGTCTCTGCCTTGCTGGCTGCCACTCATTATGCTAAGCACTTTCAAAGACACTTCCTTTATACTTCTTAAAATTCTTTTGAAATTTCATCGGATCCCTCAATTATCCTGTATGTTATATTCTAGTTTGTCTTACACTGTTTTCCTAGTTAATGTTGTTTGATTCTTGAGGGGTGTGTGTGCATGGGGGTTGAGGGAATTCTTTAAAAACAACTTTTCTTTTTTGGACCATACCCGGCGGTGCTCGGGCTTATTCCTGGTTCTGTGCTCCGGGATCACCGTGGGACCACAAGGGGTGCCGAAGACGGAACCCAAGTCAGCTTCGTAGCTGGCAAACGCGCTTCCCGCTGTACTCCCGTTCCGGCCCCTGAAAACGAATTCTATCCCCAGATCCTAACTCGGTACATAAAGCCTGGGTTTTAAAACACGATATAAAATGCTTTGCAAACTATCGACATTTACAAGCAAGTGGAAACCCGTGTCGTTCAAGACCGAAGAGCGTCTGACCTTCTCTTCTCTTACTCTGGCAAGAGCCGACCCCCCTGCCCGGGTGACGAATCGCCACCCACCTGATCACCGGGGGGCCCGTTCCCGTCCTTCTAGTCTGGGGGCCACGTGTCCTCCGCGGGCCGCCCAGGCGGCCGGGAGCAGCCCCGGGCAAGGCGGGGAAGGGCTCGCGGGTGCCCGCGGCGTCCGGGGGGGCGTCCGGGGCCGGGGCGCGGCGCGGGGCGCGACCCCACGATCCCAGCCGCGCGCGCCGCGGGCTCCGTCCTCCGCGGTCCCGCCCGCCAGGGGCAGCGAGGCGCGCGCGCGCGCTCCGAGGCGGGCGCCGGAGTCGCTTCCCGCTGGGCGGCGGGCGGGCGGGCGCGGGCGCGGCCCAGCGCGGGGGCTGCCCCGGCCGAGCCCCGGCCCCCGCTCCCGCCCCGGCCCGCACGGGGGTCCCGGGCTCCACAGCGCCCCCCGCCGCCCTCCCGCTCCTCACCGTCTCCATGGCGAGGGGCCCGCGGGCTCCGTGGGCGCTCCGGGCTCGCCGGCGGGGCTGGCGCGGGGCGGGGCGGGGCGGGGCGGGCGGGGCGCGCGGCCCCGCCCCACGTCCGGCGCCGCGGCGCCACTTCCGGCCGGCGGGGCTGACGCCAGCGGAGGGCGGGCGGGCGGGAGCGCGCGCTTCCCCTTCCGGCGCGCGCGGCCCGCCGGGGTCACCGCCTCCTCCCGGCCCGGCCGACGGCGAGCGTGACGGGACGGAGCCGCTTGTATTTAAAATGTTCTTTTTTTATTTGTCGTTTAAAAACAAACGGGGAAGAAGCAAAATCCAAAACTTGCCCTTTGCCTCTTGCGACACGGGCTATGTACAATTCAGATCGATCGCCGATACAAAACATGCCAAGGACGGGGGCGCTGGGCGGGGGCGCTTTAAAAAAGGTCATTTCATCCGCTGTTACGAGGACCAACCTTGCTGTACAGGATACACACGACACAAAATAAAGTCTTCACGGGATTCACACTTGTCAGCGATTTATTTTTTAAAAAGGGGGCAGGGTCCTGGAGGTGAAGGGGGAGAAGACCGTAAGGGGGAAACTGAAAACGGAGTATGTGCAAGTGTAAACCAACCCAAAAGACAGACACGGGGGCGGGGTGTTCTGATGCGATTATACAGGCGGGATACTCGAAGAACGAAACAAAACAAAAACAAAACCAACCAACAACCGAAATCCAACCTTGTAGCTTGGGTCTGAGTTAGTTTATATAAAAATTAAAAACTGTATAAGGTTTCTTCACTAAGTTCTACAGGCCTATGGGATACCTAGCATATGCTTACAAAGTCCGCCCCATCCCCCGTTTCCAATCCCAGGCCGGAGCCCGACCAGATCCTGACTCCAATGAGCCAGCCGCCGCCTATCCCTGTAGCCTAGACCCTCTGCTCTTGGAAAAGGAACACACACCGGCTTCAGGGGCAGCAGCCCAGTCCCCCCACTGTCGGCTTGGATTACAGTGGCTTCTGAGGGGCGGGGGTGGGGGATGTTATGCTCTTAAACATTTGCAGCTTGAAACAGTTGAGGAAGCAGCTTAAAAAAAAAAAACTCCCTACCCCCATCGATCCGCAACCCCCAAGTTCAAAAACAAAAAATAAACCTAAAATCACAACAGCGACCACACTTCCCCTCCAGCAGGTCTGCCCGTCCACTGCCACCGAGCCCACCCCTACACTCCCGACATTTGATTCTTGAAAATAGTAATTACAAAATGCCCCTTGCCCACAGCCCCTAGGCGAGAACTGCATATAAGCTTTATCTCCGTCCCCAGGTTCCCTCCCAGAGAGGGATCTGGGGCCTCCCCGCCCCCCACCTACCCCTATCCCCAGGAAGAGGTTCAACTGCAGCACAAGCTTGGGCAGAAAGGGGAAGGAAAGGGAGGCGGGGAACCCAGCACCCTCCGGGCCCCCTGGGCCAGCTCACTTTTGTGCGTTATCACAGAGTCCAACTATACAACAGGGGGTGGGGACTGCCCGCCTCTGTGCCCCCACTTTACAGCAGTCACAGCCAGGGGGGGTGAGGAGAAGGGCGGTAGGTTGGGTAATGGAGGGGGCCCCCCCACAAGGGGAGCTCCACGTATCCGCCCCAAGCCCCCCTACCATTTATAAACTGGTTTTGTAAAAAGAAAATAGATATATTTATATAGAATATATAAAGCACAAAAATTAGTAGTTTTACATTTGCTCTCCCCGGGGGTGGGGGAGAGGGGAGGGTTCTCACCTCCTGCCGGCTCCCCCATGCCCCACAAGACTATGTACAATCCCATGTATAAATAGATAAATACCCCCCACCCTCCCCGCGCTGACACTAAGCTCCCCCACCCCCACATCACCACCCCTTCCCACCAGACCAGCAGCAGTTTGGTGACCGAGGGCAAGCGGGAGCTCCGGACCACACTCCGCCTCGCTGGGTATGGCAGCCACTCAGGGACAGCCCTTGCCCTGCCGCCGCCCGCCCCGTCTAGGGGCCGGGCCGAGCAGGCGCAGGATGGGGTAGGGCAAACAGGAGGAAGACAGCCTGGTCTTCGGGTCAGCACACCCTCCCGCCCCATGTCCAGATGGAGAAGGAGTCCTAGAACAACTAGGGGCCAGTTATCCCCAATCTTCACCATTAGCCTCGACCACCATCCCATGCCCAGAATGAAAAACCAAGATGGGTTTTCCTTGTTGTTTCTTCTTCCTCCTCCTACCCCCTTCCACCCACTCAGGAGAGGGCAGTGAGGTGGGTGAGAGGGTTGGGGGCAGTAGGGGGCTTGGAGAGGGTCTCACATTTCAAAACAGCAAAAAATCCAACACTTAAATGAGGTAGGTGTGGGTGCGGGGTCTCCTTGCCCGGCTTGCCTAGCTTGCCCTCCTGGACAGCTGGACGCCTCTTTCCCGTTCGTGTTGCATTTGTCAGAGTGGAAAACAAGGAAACACAACCCATAGAGAGACGGAAACACAGAGGAGAAGAGGGAGACAGAGACAGATTGGGGGGGGCTGGGGGTGAGGGTGGGGGCAGGACCCGGCAGGCAGGGCCAGGTGTGAGCCCGGCCTTTGGGATTGTCAAGCTTAGTCAAGTCTCTTTGCAGCCTCGAGTTGGGCCGGAGAGGTCGTTGGGAGCAGCAGGGCTGTGAGGCCCAGCCACACATCCTCCTCCCCCGTCCCTGCTGCCTCCCAGATGCGTCTGGGTAGTTCCCGGCCCATATCCCCCTCAAACCTGAGATGCCCAATGGCTGCTTCTGTCTGGCCCCGTCTGGATCTGGGGGCAGAGATGCCAGCCTGGGGGCCGGTGGCGGGGAAGAGGGTTATCCCTGGTGCCCAGGGTGGGCTTGGCCGAGGGACCTTTGCCCGGGCCTCCTGCTCCGGGGGCTCCGGTCAGCCGGCAGCCCCCGCCCTGGGTCCTGGCTCTGGCTGCTAGCTCTCTTCCCCTTCATCCCTTTCAGGGAAGAGGTGGGGGGTGGGGGGACGCCCCTGCCTGGTAGCCTCAAAAGCTTCTTAGTTCATCCATTTCCGGCAATTCCAGGCTCCACAGTGGCAGGGGATCTTGTGCTGATCGTCCTCAAAGTCAAACTGATAGTCATAGGTCAGCTGGAAAGAGAAGAGGTCAGGGTCAAGGCCAGCTCCAGGGGGCAGTGGCCCTGAGGCGCGGGAGCCGCCCGCTTACCTCCTCTCCTTTGGGGATTCGCCGACTGGAGATGATGATGATTTTATCCTCCTTGTCAAACGTCACAACTTCTGCCACGCAGTTAGGCGCACAGGAATGGTTGATGTACCTAGTATCAGGACAGAGTCAGGGATGCCGAGCAGCCGAGCTGGGACCCCTGACTACCTTCTTCCTCATTCCTCTCTCACCTGGCGGGGCCTCCGGTCAACGTAGCATCAATCACATGCTCATTGTTTATTCGGAACATGTAGATGCCTCGATTCTGAAAAGGAAGAGGTGAAGAAGAATGGGCGAGAGCACTCGGGCAGCTGCCTGGCTACAGGTCCGTCTCCGTTGCCGGTTCTTCCTCTCCTCCTCTCCCCTCCACCCCCGTTTTTTTGTTTTTTCATTTGCTTTCTGGTTTGGGGGCACATCTGGTGGTGCTCAGGGCTTACTCTTGGCTCCGCGCTCGTGGATCACTTCTGACGGTGCCCAGGGGACCATGCGTGGCGCCAGAGACTGAGTCCAGGTGGGTGGTGGGCAAGGCCAGACCGCACCCCTGGTTTTCTGCCTGCGCCCCTGTCCCGAAGCAGCTCTGCTATCCCGAGGCTGACCACACCCCTGACGTCCTCCTGCCGGCACCCACCTGCTCCTCGTAGATTTTCTCCCTCCGGTTGGCTACCTCGTTGCGAATGATGGTGCCAATGTACTCAATGACCATCGTGTGCTTTTCGAGGTCCTTGGCCGCATAGAGCCCCAGGCCTTGGATGCGGGATCGAGCCAGGTAAACGTTGTTCTTCCACTCGGTGCGCAGTCGCCGGTACTGAGATGACTTGGAGTGCACAAACTGCTTGCTGTATGGGGTGTTGGTCTCGCCTGTGAAGGTGCTCTGATAGGCCTTGGACATGCTGGTGCTGTTCAGGGTGTGGGGCCTGGGAGGTGACAGAGGCCATGACAAGACAGTTCTCCCGCAGAGCAAGCACAACCCCCGTGCCCCTGCCCGGGGAGGGGTGTCAGGCCACTCAGGAGTGTGTGCTGTCTCAGGAAAGGAGTGGAAGCATCTAGGTCTTGGCTTTGGTGAGGTGGCAACTAGCTACGGGACCCCTTCCAACACCCTGGGGAGGGATGGGGAGTGGGGGGTGCGGGTATGCTAATTCCCCGACACTGAGCCTGCTCTCCCATCTCCCGTCGCCCACTACTCTCTTGCCAAACCATATTCCGAGGCCGTGCTCCCAGGGAGGGAGGTCGTTCCCCAGTGGCCCAGGCCTGGCGTTTAAGCACATGGTTTGCTCAGATATCCGAGTCCCACCTTCTGCGCACACTAGAAGCCCTGAAAACGGGGGCTGTGTCTGCCCCATCGGACTGGCTCTGAATTCGCAGGCAGAAGATGGTGGCCCCTTTCCTTCCTCCCCACAGCAAGGGGGCTGTGTGCAGCCGGCTCAGTACAGGGGAATGGCACTGCCTACAAGGTGCCTTTCACCACCCGAGGGCACCAGCCCAACTCTCGCCCAAGCCCAGAGCAGTGGTTTTCAAACGTTTCCATCTCCTTCTTCTTAAGCAGAATTTTCTTTAACAAGGTGTTACTGGAACTCCAATACATGAACTAGATGAAAACAGAGCTCTTCCGACGGAATTGAATTTGGGGAAGCAGAATTACACACAGGGAGGGCCCAGTTCTGGCCATTCCCCTTACACGTCCCAGGATTTCCGGAATGCGCACCATTTGATAACCACTGCTGCAGAACTTCCAGGACCAGGGCTGACTTGGGCAGAGCCTGACATCCTACAACAGCCCAGGGAGCAACCAAAGACCTCCAGGAAACCCCTGCTTCCACAGCGCCGGCCTCCCTCTCCCCAGGGACCAAGATCAGCTTCTGTGGTGCCCAGAAAGAAGAGTGACCCACAAATCAAGAAGTAAGGTGCTGGTCCCAGCTGTGACCTTGAGCTAGTCACTTAACCTTTCTGGGTGTCAGTTTTCTCGGCTGTAAAACGGGGGTCATACCACCTGCCCTACCTACCTCATAAGGTTGTTGTGAGGATCAAATGAGATAATGGATGTGAAAACGCTTTGAAAAAAAAAGTATAAAGTGCTATACAAACGCAAGGCTTTATTACTTTCCTATTATATTCCTAATTATCTTTGACCAACTCAGCTTGGGGAAGGGAAGGCAACTCTAGCACTCATGGGGCATCTGAGGCTGGGGGGACTCACAGGCCACCCTGGAAGCAGCAGAGCCAAGAGAGCCGGCCACGGGTCCTTTCCACATTCCATCAGGTGTCACCAGTGTCTACCCAGAACCTCCCCAGCAGCCATCCCCAGGGTACCCAGGAGAAATCTGCTCTAGCGCCTAGGTCCACCCAGAACACCTGACCCGGCTGAGCTCAGAAGGAGAAAATAAAGACCCAAAAGACGCCTGCACCCTCTAATCAGGAGTCCTAGAGTGAACCCTCCGTCTCTCCAAGGGAACGCTGATCTATAACCCGACCAATCGGCCCGAGAGGCCCTACCAAGCCCTCCCCACACATTCCGTGCCCTGGCTCTGTAAGCTCACCGTTTGTAGTGTGTGAGGATTTTAGGCTCTGATCGGGCACAGCCAGTGGGGTTGATCATGAGTGGCAGCTCCATCAAGGGGTGGCGTCCATAGCGGAATAAATAGTTCTGACAGCTCTCCACTCCGGGCAGCTGCGGGCACACGTCATGCCCCCCTCAGACCCAGCACTCTGGGCCGGCCCGAAGCTCCCAGCCCCGCTGGCCCAGGTCCCTTCCTTACTGATTCAGCTATGCGAAGCACGGCGTGCACCGTCAATCCGAAGAGCTCCTCGCCCTTCAGGTACTCCGGGAAGAGTCGCAACATGTCAGCCTCTTTCCTCATGGCAGCCACGGGCTCAATGATGCGATTCCACACAGCTACCGGGTAGGGAGAGAAAGCAGCTCTGAGATGACTTCTGCTCACTGCTTTTGTTTTTGGAGGGTGGGACGCGGGGAGGGAGCACACCCAGAAGTGCTCAGGGCTTGCTGCTGGTGGGCTTGGGGGACCGGTCGTATGAGGTGCCGGGGAGTGAACTGCGGCAGGCCTTGTGCAAGGCAACGCCCTCCCCGCCGGACTACTGCTGCAGGCTCACTCTTGCTGCCTTCTGGCCCGACCTCAACCACGGCTCTAGCTGCTCTCTGGAGCTACACGTCGCCCTTTCAGAAAGGCATGTGCTTCTTCGGGGCTCTCCTGGCCCTCAGTTACATTCGCCCTCACCAAGGCAGGCAGCTCTAGCCCTGGAGGAGAATTTCGATGTCTGGTGACACAGAAACATGGAGACCCAGATCAAGCCTCACGGCCCCAGAACAGCCAGAGTTTGGAGGAAGGAAGACTCAGTGTCAGATCTAGTCCTGGCTAGAGAGCTACACCAAAACTTCTAAGACAGGTTCTTTCTGGGGTGAGGAGGGGGATCATTGGGCCACACCCAGTGACCTCGGGGGCCACTCCTAGCTCTGCTCAGAGGAGTGAGCCCTGGCAGTGCTTGGGGGCCACATACGGTACGAGGGATCCCAGAGGACAGGGTCGGCTGCGTGCTTGGGGGCCACATATGGTACGAGGGATCCCAGAGGACAGGGTCGGCTGCGTGCAAGGCATCTCCAGTCCCACGACTCAGTTTCTTGATGTATAAACTGAGTGTAGAGAAACTGCTCTATTCTTGTCATTAACATAAAAACTAAGGTAAAAGCATTTTTTCCCAGAGAAAAACAAACAAAAGAAACTGCAGAGTAGCACAGTAGGTAAGGGGTTTGCCTTGCATGCACCTGACCCGGGTTTGGTCCTCAGCATCCCATATGGTCCCTTGAGCGCCACCAGGAGTAATTCCTGAGTGCAGGACCAGGAGTAAGTGCTGAGCATCACCAGTCGTGACCCAAAAATTAAAAAAAAAAAATGAGCTGATGACCTGGTCTCAGAACTCCTTTAGTTCTACTGAATATTGAAAAGGAGCTATAAAACAAAACAAAAAAACCCAGGGGGCGCAAGTAATAAATAGTATAGTGGGTAGGGCGATTGCCTTGCACATGGTCAACCTGGGTTTAATCCCCAGCACTGCATATGGTCCCCCAAGCCCGCCAGGAGTGATTGATCCCAGAGTGCAGAGCCAGGAGTAAGCCTAAGCACCACCAGTAGTTGTGGCCCAAAACCAAACCAAGAAGAAAAGGAATTCGAATATTTAAAGCCAGGAAGCAAAATCTCTTCCCTCGAGAGATTCTACGCTGGCTAAGTGCCAGTGGAAGACTGGGCATCCAGAGGCCAACTCCAGCCGTGGTCGGGGGAGGAAGGTCCCCACGAAGAACCGTGCTGATCTCCTCCCAGCACCGGGAACCGAGTCCAGGAGAAACGCGCCCACCCCCGGCGTCCACCTCGAGAGCCCGGCGCCTACCCTGAGGAGAGGCGTCGGTGAAGATCAGGTCCTCCAGGCCCTGCTCAGTGACTCGGATGACAAACTCCGGCCGCCCGTTGTTCTCCCCGATGGAGCAGCGGTAGCAGCAGCGGCGGTTGTTGGTGCGGAGGCTCCAGTAGATGCGCGTGGCCTCGTAGCCCACAGGATAAAGGGCCGTGGCGCTGTGGAAGTCGGCCATCTGGTGGGGGAGCAGCTGTCCGATGGCATGGAACACCAGGCCCCCCACGCGGAACATGTGCAGCCGCTCCCCGCGCTGGATGATGCTGGCGATCTGCTTCACCTCGTCCCGCTCGATGTAGACCCGGCGGAAGACCGCAAAGGAGCTCAGCTCCTGCTCACAGGGCCCCTTGATCTTGTGCATCGGGCAGAGCATGGTCTTGTCCTTGAAGAACATGCACTTGGCGCGGATGGCGCAGGCGAAGTGGTAGACGTTGGGGCAACGCATTCGGTTGCAGCTGCTGGTGGCGCCCGTGCGCTGGCACAGGGAGCACTTGGTCAGCAGCCCCCGGTGCAGCGCCACCTCCACGTTCATCAGGGCCCCGCCCTGGGTCTCGTAGACCTCTGTGGACCACAAGGCGCAGTTGAGGTGCACCCACAGGTCCAGGTCCAGGTTCAGCAGGCGAGCAGGCCCGTCGGTGGCCCCGTCGCCCTCCTCGTGGCAGAAGCAGCAGCGTCGCATGTCTCGAGGCACCTTGTCCGGGCGCAGGGCTGTGCCGAGCTGGTCCATGAACTCGGCCACCTCCCGCTCGTCCTCCTGCCGCCCCCCCTTCTGGATGGTCAGGAGCAGCCGCAGTCGCTTCCAGCGGACCCCCTTCCACTTTTTGAGGCGAGGGGGGCGCGAGTCTTCGCCCTCTTCGGGGGGCCGGGCGCGGGGCTTGGGCCGGGCTGCTTCAGGAGACGAGGCCAGCGGCAGGGGAGAGGGGACCGATGGCTCAGCCGAGGGTTCGGGCGGGAGTTCCACGAGGGGCTCGGCGGGGGGGCTGGCAGGGGAAGGTACCAAAGGGGACGGGGGCGGGGAGGGCTCTTCCGGAGGCGGGGCGGAGAGCTGCCGCACGTCCAGATTCGAGACGTTGTAGGTGTAGCTGTGCTGGGTGGGCGGCTCGGGGACGGGACTCTCCTAGGGAGGGACGCACACGACACTGTCAGTGCCCACACCTCGCGCCCCGGCCCCTCCTCTGCCTCCACGCAGACCCATTCTGCCCCAAGCCCTTGGCCGTTCTTGCCTCGCCGGGCTTCTCCCCTCGTCACCCCCACTTCTCCCCAAGACTCACCTGTTTCAGGAGGCTTAGGATGTCGAGCTGGCTCTTGAGGGTATAGCCAGGCAACACTGCATCAAACTGCTTCAGCCAATCAGGGCCGGCCTCCGAGTTCTTGCCTCCCAGGCCCTTTTCTTTCCCGCCTACCAGAAGGAAGGGGTCAGAGCCCGCTGGCCGCAGCAGCGGTGCCCTCGGGCCCCCAGGCGTTTTCCTGCCCCACTCACCAGGGCCCTCTGCTTCCCCTTTCTTAGGCTCAATGCCTGCCCGGGCGGGGCTCTCTGGGAACAGCACCTCGTAGGAGTTGGGGATCTTCATACTCAGCAGCTCGGCCACTGCTACCATCACACCGTTCAGGTTCTGCTGGGGCGGAAGGGATGGAGCGCTTCAGGGACACTCAGAACACAACTCTCCTGCCCCCTGCCACCCGGCTCCCCTCACAGCGGCCTCCCGCAGACGACTGTGGAGGGCCTCACAGAAGCCCACCAAAAAAGGAACCTGTAGTAACTTACACAACCATGCCCACAACTCAGAGATTTCTGTGGACATTAGCAAAGCAGAGGACCCAAGGTAAAGAAATCTGTCGTGCTGGTTTTTTGTTGTTCTTTTCCGGTGGGGAGGAGGCAAATCTGGCAGTGCTCAGAGGCTACTGTAACTCATGCAGGGCTCAGGGGCCTGGTGGTTATTCTCAGCACAGTACTCAGGGGTCGGTTCCTGCTCAGGAGACTGGTGCAAGGGGCTAAACCCAGGGCTCTGGCATGCAAAGCACGTGCATCAGTCCTTTGAGCTACCTCCCAGCCCTACTGTGTTTTTTAAACTAGGATCTCCAATTTTCTTTGACTAAAAAACCCTGCTAATATTATAAAGCAGGAAAAAAAAAAAGTTCCACTTTGGGCCAGGAATATAGCGCAACAGTAAGCACTTGTCTTGCGTGTATGAGGCCCGAGGTTTGATCCCTAGCACTACCAGAAAGGGAAAAAAGAAAACAAAATCCGGTGGTACAGTGCTTGTAGAAAACTGCCTTGGGTTTAATATCAGGCGCGCGCGTGCACACGCGCGCACACACACACACACACACACACACACACACACACACACACACGACCATCCGACCATCCTGTTATTCGTTGATTGCCTCAAGCAGGCCCCAGTAACGTCTCCTTCATCCTAGGCCTGAGATTATATTCAAGGCTCTTTAGGAGAATGAGACCCATCATTGTTACTGGTATTTGGCATGTTGGGTACGCCACGGGGAGTTTGCCAGACTCTGCCGTGTGGGCAGGCTACATTCGGTAGCCGCGCGGTTCCGGGAGCTGGTTTTTATAGTCTCTGAGTTTTTATAGTCTCACACACACACACACACAACGACTATCAAATACCCTCCAGTTTCCCAGATGGCACTGGGTCGCGCTGTCTTGTCGCCTTTGTGGCATTTGCCTCTCCACTTGCTGACTTGTATCTTTCTCCCTGGACTAGGAGGCCCTGGAGGGGAGGGGCTGTACTTCATTTACCCCTGCCAGAATTTCAGCCTTTTTTGGGAGCGAGGTCAGCCTTTTGGCCACATCCTGCAGTGCCAGGATGGAACTACGACCAGCTGCAGTTTGCAAAGCAAGAAGAACCTTAACTCCCTCCGGGCTCCCGACTCCCTAGCTGCGAGTGATGTGATCTCTCCAGGGACTGCCCACAGACCAACGTCCCCCTGGCCTCCAAGGCACCCCTGGACATACCTTGGCAGCAGCGGCAGAGACCGTCAGCATGACCGACACCTCACTTCCTTTGCCCTTTTCCCAAGGCGTGGCAGGCAGCTTTCCAGGGACATCCAGATCCAGGACCCCGTAAGGTTTGGTATCTGGGAAGACTAAGAAGGATCGAGAGTTGCAGCTGCCTCTCCCCAGCCTCTGCAAGTCCCCCGCGGCAGGCCGGGCCCCTTCCCAGAGCCTCACTTACCGGGGATGCTGGCCCGAGGAATGATGGGGATGACGGGGGAGAGCGCCCGATCGTCCTGCTCCCACCGGCCAGAGCCCAAGTGGGGGAAACGAGGGGTCTCCTCCCCCAGGATGCTCTCGGGGGATGACGCTGGCACAATGCTGTCGGGAGAGTCACTGTCCTCATCACTCTCCATCCTGCGGGCCACAAGCAGACGCTGGTCAGCCACTGCACCTTGCAGACCCCACCTCCCAATCCAGAGGCAGGGAGGGCCACAGCCTTCCTTGAAATGTGCCACTGGCCAAAGGGAAGCGAGGCAGCCTGTTCCCCAGCCACTTCCCACCTGACATCCTCGGTCTGATTGTGAGGAGGTGTCGGCAAGGCAGCCAGCAGGTCTAGACTCTTCACCTCTGAAGCATCTGAGGGGAAGGCAGGAGGAGAAAGGTAGCTTGAGGGCACAGAGCAGATTTCTCCCCATAGCCCAGCACAGCCAGCCCGGTCACTGCCGGCTCAGCCAGCTCCCCTGTATGGTTGCTTAGGGCAAATAAGCGGTATTCATACTTTCCCATATGTAAATCTTGGGGGTGTGGGGGGGGCTATACCCAGATTCATTCAGGGCTTATTCCTAACAGTGCTTGGGGGACCATACATGATGCCGAGGATTGAACCCGGGTTGGCTGAATGCAAGGCAAGTGCCCTGTCCACTGTCTCTCTGGCTCCAATCCCTGAATTTTCTTCCTCTTCAATCAGATTTTTCTCTCCCCTACTTGGGTGGTATCTGTTCAGGGGTTACGCCCTACGCTGGACTTGGGAGTTGCTTCCAAGTACAGACTTGGGGGAATGGACATGGTACAGAGATGAGCCTCCCACATGCAATGCAGGCACTGAGCCCTGCGAACGACTTCCCCGGCCCCATTTATAACCTGTTCTGGGGATGGGGGTGGGAGTGGGGGTCTTCACCTAGCTGTGCTCAGGACTTACTCCTGGCTCTGCCCTCAGGTACCACTCCAGGCAGCTCAGGGGATCATACAGCGATGCCAGGGATCGAAACCCGAGTCAACTGCCAGCAAGGTAAATGCCGACCTGCTGTATTACCACTCCTGTCCCCCACTTATAATCTTCCATGACTTTCCTTAGGTCCCATAGCCTTTTACAATGAGGAAACAGGCTCACAGAAGCCAATGCCATTACTTGGCTACAGTCATCTGCCAGATGAGTGCGGAAACCAGAACAAATCCAGATGAGACTCCAGCTCTGTACCCACTGATGCTGGTCTGTGCCCTACGAGCAACTGCTTCCACAACACTCCCCTTGCAAACCACCCTCCCACTGCCTAGTTCGAGACTCCAAAAGTCCATCCTGGCCTTCAACCAACTGATCGGTTCTGGGACTTTTCATCGGGTTTGGTTTGGTTTTGGAGCCACACCGAGCGGTGCTCAGGGCATACTCTTGGCTCTGCATTCAGGAATCACTCCTGGTGGGCCCACGGGCTACGGGATGCCGGGATCATACCCAGTTCAGCCCCATGCAAGGCAAATGCCCTGCTCAATGTATTCTCTCCCCAGCTCCTCTGTTTGGTTCTGTGACAGGGATTGAGCAGGGTCTCACACATTTGAGGGAGGTGCTCCATCACTGAAACACAGACAGTCCGACCAACCAGTCCTGAGAGCCTCCCTGCCTCTGGTCATCCGTGGCCTGCACACTGGGCAACGCGCAGCCCACCGCCAACCCAGCTGCACGGAGGGAGGGGCACAGTGACTAGCCTGGACCCAACACTACACCGAACTAGGAAAGGAGAAACCCTGGTTGCAGCTTACCCCTTAGTGTCCCTTCAGTGTCGCGGGCAGAGGCGGCATCCTTGGGCTGCTCCCCTAGGTCTTCAGATGCAGTGACACCATTTACCATCTTCTGCTGCACCGATGGGGGTGGGGTGGGAGGCAGCGACGAAGGTGGTGTCGGCGGGTTACTCAGGTTATTCTGGGGGTGGGGGCGGGGCGTTGTGTGCAAGGTGGCAGAGGGAGACGCACAGGATCCCCTGGCCCCACACTACACCAGCCATCGCTTCAAGTCTTCCACTCCCACCTCTCCTCCCCAGGAACCTCCTCATCCCCAAAGGTAGACTGCCATTTCTCTGACCTTGGTAAGCAGCTGGGAATAGTAGTCAGGGCCAGTGGGCAGCACGCCACTTCCAAAGGCCCCCCTCAGCTGGCACTGCCCATTGACTGGACAGCCGCTGCCAAAGGGAGCAAAGAGGCTAAAATTGGCCGTGATGGTCGGCTCCGTTAGGGGCAGCAGGGACAGCTCCTAGGAGGGGCAAGACGACAAGGTTGGAAGCCTGCAGCACACACCTCTCTACCAGAGCACGGCCGGGGAGCAGGGAGCCCCCGCTATCCTGGGTTGGGACCAGGGGACTGGCTCCCGGGGGTCACCTGTTTCAGCTGTCTCAGCAGGGCCTCGTTGGCCCTGACCCCGTCCTCCTTCCGCAGCTTCTTTCGGGAGCTCACCAACCTGTCGCTCGCCTTCTGCACCCGCTTGGGCTTCAGTGTCAAAGGCTTCCTGGCTGCTGTGTCCTAAGCCGGATAGACCCTAGTCAAGGCTGCTGTCCTGAGCCCTCACCTCTTCTGTTTGACCAGACCTGCTCACTCTGCCCCTGGACTCCGGCCCATTCTCTCTTCCGTGCTTGAGTTACAGTACTCACCTCCTTACTGTTGGGGGTACCCTGTAGTTTCTGTTCCAGCCCTGCCAGTTTGCTGTCAATGTGACCGTTGATTTCCGCTCGCAGCCCCTCAGGGCCCCGGGGCCCAGTGCTGAGTTGCACGTTCTTTGCCCGGAGAAGTTTCTGCAAGAGCAGATGGCCGGCTTCCGAGCGGGAGCCTGCCAGCAGGAGGTGGTTGCTGGTGCCTGCTGCCCCGACTGGCTCCCCGTTGGCCTCTCTCTTCACCGCCTGGGATCCCAGGACACATGGCTCTTCCCGAGGCTCCTGCTTGATGCTGAGATGGGGCGACTCAGGTACCACCTGTCCATTCACCGGCTCCGGGGGCCCGGGTACCAGACTGCTCTGCTCCGGCTTCTGGGCTTCCGTGAGGTTGTCTGGAGGATCCCAAGGTCCCAAACCCTTGCCAAAGAAGGTATCTGCAAGCTGGGCAGCAGCAGGCGAGACCCGCCCAGGAGGTAGCTCCAAGGGTGGTCCCTGGGGCTTCGGGGTCCCTGGTTGGGTGGGGGTGAGCTGGGCTTCCAAGGGGAGCTGGGAACCGGGGGAAGGTAATTGCGAGGAAGATCTCTTTGGCTCTTGGGGGCTGGAAGGTGGAGGTGGAGGATGGCCAGTCCCAAGGACTGGTCCTGTCGATAAGGCTCCTTGTGGGGTGGGGAGCCGGGGAGGGCCCTGGGGTCGAAGCCCTGCCCCGAGCTCCTGGAGGGGACCTGTCTGGGATCCAGGGAAGCCCCCAAGCTGGGGTTGGCGGCCTAAGAGGCCCTGGAGGGGAGAGGACTGAGCCCCAGGCTCCTGATAGGGTGGGGTCTGGCGGACGGGCTGCCCCTGCTGCAGCTGCCGCTGCATGAGGAGGACCTGGAGCTGCTGCTGCTGCTGCTGACTCAGGTGCCGCAGCTGCGGGTTTTTGGCCAGGACTCCTTGGAGCTGTGCTCGGAGTTGCCCCACTGTGGGTGTGACTCCAGCCCCAGGCAGGCCCTGTGGGACAGGTCCTGGTTTGGCAGGCGGTGGTCCTGCGTTATTTTGCACAGGCCGCTCTAGTCCGATGGGCTGCTGGGAACCCAGGAGGTTCTGGGTCACAGGCCCAGGCTGTTCCCCGATGCACACGGAGGACTGGGCCAACAGGTGGGGCACAGATGAGACCTCAGATGATCCACTGCCCGGTGGCCCATGACTTCCCACACCTGCTGAGTGGAGCACGTTAACCTGCTGCTGCTGCTGTCCCGGGAGCCTCAGAGGCGGCTGCAGCGGGACAGAGTTGGGCTGAGGCTGGGCCTGGGGCTGGACGAGCAGGAGTTGTGGGTCCCCGGAGAGTGAGGATTTGACCTCCCCTGGCTCAGTGGCCACGGACTCAGGAAGAGTCCCCATTGCTAACGGCCCTCCCTGGTGAGCGGAGGGCCCCTCTGTGGCCTCAGGAGGAAGGGCCGTCTCTCCCAGGCTTTGTTCCTTGCCCGCGAGGAGGAGGGCTGGGCCCAGGGCGCCGGGGCTTGAAAAGTGTTGAAGAGGTTTGGCTGGCATGGCAGGCCCAAGAGTCACCTGCGGCTGCGGCTGCGGCGGCGGCTGCTGCTGCTGCTGCGGAGACAGTAATGTTCGACTCTGGCTCAAGAGGCCCAGCTGCTGCTGTTGTTGAAACTGTTGCTGTTGTAGCTGCTGCTGCTGCTGCAGCTGCTGTTGCTGCTGCTGCAGCTGGAGCTGTTGTTGCTGCTGCAGCTGCTGCTGTTGCAGCTGGAGCTGTTGTTGCTGCTGCTGCTGCTGATGTTGTTGATGTTGCTGGAGCTGCTGCTGCTGGATCTGCTGCTGCTGGAGCAGCTGCTGTTGCTGCTGAAGCTGCTGCTGCTGGAGCTGCTGCTGCTGCAGCTGTTGTTGCAACTGCTGCTGCTGCAACTGCTGCTGCTGCAAGGAGCCCATCGGCTGGGCACTCAGTTTTGGTGGAGCACTGTGCGGCATGAGCCCCTGCTGAAGGTGGGAGAGTCCTGCCATGGAGCCCTGCTGTTGGTGTTGCTGCTGTTGCTGAGCTGTGACCAGTCGGTGTCCCATAAGGCCCTGACCCTGCTGTGCCAGCTGGGGGGAACTCAGCACCCGGGACTGGGTCAGAAGCACCTGTCTGTGAGGCCCCTGGGAGCCCAGAGCTCCAGGGTGCTGCTGCTGCTGCTGCTGCTGCAACACCGCTACCTGAGCAGGGCCCAGCATGCCCTGGGAGCCCTGGTGTGGCTGGGGGGACAGCTGCTGGACCAAAAGGCCCTGGTGGCTGCTGGGAGGCAGAAGCCCCTGGGGCTTGGGACCCAGAGCCTGGTTCACCTGAACCCCAGGGCCCTGCTGCTGTTGCTGCTGGATCGCCACCTGTCCTAGGAGGTGCTGCTGCTGCTGCTGCTGCTGCTGCTGCTGCTGCTGCAATTTCTGGGCCAGCTGCATCCGCTGCTGCTGCAGCTGCAGCTGCCTCTCCTGTAAGAGCCTGGAATCAGGTCCAAGGCCTCGGAGAGCAAGGTTGCCAGGGAAAAAGCCCCCGGAGGGGCCAGCCAGGGCCCCAGCCCCACCAGAATGTTGCTGTTGCTGCTGCTGGGCTAGGGCCGTGTTGAGGAAAGGACCACCGGTCTGCCCAGGCAGGGTCATGCCGCCTGGTGGCAGGCGGAGACCTCCAGCTTGCCCACCAGGGGGCCCCTGAGGTGGCTGCAGCCCATGGCCAGGAAGCAGCTGACCGGGGAGCTTGGTGAGCAGCCGGGGACTCTGAGAAGGACTCAGGGCCAGCACAGCCGAGTGCTGCTGCTGCTGCTGCTGCTGCTGCTGCTGCTGCTGTTTATTTCGATATTCTGCCATGAGATTAGTGTGCTCCTTCTGCTGCTTCCGGACCTAACACGGAGGGGCAGGGAAGTCAGCTGGGAGCCTCCTCACCTGTGCCATCCCTCCTCTGCCCGGGCTGAAGTTTACTTTCCCCACCTGATCCAGCTGTTTCTGGATCTTGCTCTGCTGCTCTGTAACCAGCTTGAGTTTCTCAGCATCGGCCTCTGGGAACTCACGGCCAGCCTTTTTGGCAGTTCGCTGCTTGGCACACAGTGCCTTCCGGGACTTGCGGTGCACTCCGATCTGCTCCTCCAGCACCTTCAGCTGCATCTGTAGGAGCTGCTGGGTATGGAAGAGCCACTCCTCATACTGCCGCTGGTCAGCCTCATCTGGCAAAGGCAATGGGGGCGGGGGGAGGATCGTGTTAGAGCTGCAGAACCAGGATGCAGTTCCTCTTCACCCAGACCTTCGAGGCTATTTCTTTACACACGCTTTCCCCACCCGCATACTCACTGATCACTCCCTGGGCAAAAGTGGGTGGATTGGGACGAGGCTGGGAGGGGTCACCGGAACTCCGATCCTGTGATGAGAGAGACCGCTGGAGTTCACTGTTCCACACCAGGTCCTAAGAAGGGTGGCCCAAAAGCACCGGGACCAAGTTCCTTCTCCTACCTGACTGCTTACCTGGCCGCTCCCAGCTGCCACATGGTTCTGCAGATCACCACCTGGCCCCCCTGACAATCTCTGGGCGAGTAGGGACACTTGCTGCCTGGATTCCACCGAAGCAAAGAGAATATCAGTAACGGGGAAAGCGGAAGGGACAGGGAGAAAGGAGAAGGGACGGGACAAAGCAAAGGTCCAAGCCTCTATCACCCCAGTCTTACCTGTTCATGCCAGGTGCCACACCAATGCTGCCCTGAGCCATCACCTTCTTGATGCCTTTCAAAGCTACCATTTTGGCCTTTGCAATGGGATCAATGATATCTTCTGCAGCAAATTTGTCCAGGTCTGAACAAACAAGAGTTAAGTGAGTGGGTGGGCACTGGGCCAGTAGTCCATTCCATGTCTTCTATGCTATCCAATACCCTGACCACTACTGGCCCAAGAGAGGGTATGGAGCAGCAGAAAATCTACTGGGCTAGAAACCAGGTGGCCAAAAGGAGCGCCTCCACTCTTAACAGCATGACACGTGGCCTTGTTTTATCTCGCACCATGGCAGAAAAAGTTGCTCGCTAAGTTGTTAAGCCAGTAAGTCAATGTCTTTCACTTGTGCCTCAGTTTACTCCTCTGTTCAGTGGAGACGGTGACTCTTACTCTGTTTACCACACAGAAATGAGGGGATCAAGTGAGGCAAGACCATCAGTACTACTTTAGCACTAAGGAAGCACTCTTGAAATGTGCTTAAGGTAACTGGTACAGCACAAGAACCCAAATGTGGGCCCTACTAGATGCCACAGCTCACTCTCCTACCTATCAAAGATGCGAGGTAGATAAAGAAGCAACCACCAAAACCTTAAATCTTCCCAAAAATCCCAAAAACTGAACAATTCTCCACTGTTCAGAAAATTTAACTCTCTAAATCAAGAAAAATTTCCACTGAACTCCATCACCTTAAGATTGCGCCTTACAGAGAACCTAATCCGCCAAAACCCGTCAGGTACATGGGTCCTTGTGGTGAAAACTCCAGGCTATCTCAGAGTTGGGATGGGCAACCAACGCCCCCCCACCTCCCTGTACTTCCAGAACACCCAGCAGCCACACCCACACCCCACCACTGCAGTCTATGTAAGCTCATCTACCGGCCTTGTTCAGAGACTCAATCAATCTCGAAAGAGATCACCTAGTTACAAAAATGTCTCGGACACCCACTCCCAGCTGAGACCGCTGGAGTGCTCTTGGATGGGGACGAACCAGCTCCCGCCCAAAGCCTGGGCAGCTGCTCCCACACCCCAAAGCTGCCACCCAGTTAAAAATTTAACTACAGGGGTGGGGCGATAGCACAGCTCATAGGGCGTTTGCCTTGCATGTGGCTGACCCGGGTCGGTTCCCAGCATCCCATATATGGTCCCCTGAGCACAGCCGGGAGTAATTCCTGAGTGCAATAGCGAGGAGTAACCCCTGTGCATCACCGGTTGTTTCCCAAAAAGAAAAAAAAAATCAACTACAACCTAACTGCCCACTTAAGAATTCTGGATTTTTTTGAGCACACTCCTCCGTCTCGTCTCCAATACTACAACACTGACATCTCAGTAGTAGATGGGATGTAACATAGAAACCAATCTAGACTAATAAAAACATTAACACAGAAGGTTAACTTGCAACTACAGCTTAGTAAACCCCCGGGCAAGGAATTAATGTCCCCGTGGTGAGATACAATTTCCAAATTTTCTTCTACAGATACATTTTTGATCCCTCTTAAAAGCCACTTAGGGGTAAAAAGCAGTATAAAATAAACTGTGGTGGCCCTGCTACAGGGTGGATGGGAAAATGGTGCAACGGTGGCGGGCAGGTGAGAGTGGTGGTGGGACAGGTGTTGGAACACTGAATGCCTGTAGCAAATCATCAGGAACAACTTTGTAAAACCACGGTATTTAAATTAAATGGGCACGGTAGCACTGTCCTCTCGGTGTTCATCAATTTGCTTGAGCGGGCCCAGTAACGTCTCCATGTTGAGACTTGTTGTTACTGTGTCTGGCATAGCGAATACGTCACGGGTAGCTTGCCAGGCTCTGCCATGCGGGCGAGATACTCTCGGTAGCTCACCGGGTTCTCCGAGAGGGGCGGAGGAATCGAACCCGGCTTGGCCAGGACGGCGGCTTGCAAGGCAAACGCCCTACCGCTGTGCTATCACTCCTGCCCAAATTCAGTGGGGAAAAAACAAAATAAAAATTCCCTCTCTACCCTACCCCTTTCCTTTACAATTGCTTTGATGGCTGGGATTTGCATATACACCTGTCTGTGGTTTTGGGGATTTTTTGGTAGTATCAGGACTCAAACCCAAGGCCACACATCTGTGAAGATGAGACCGACCAGTGAGCCACACCCCTGCCGGGACTGCACGAGGCTGCAGTGCTCACTCAGTGGTGCGCCCAGAGACTCCACTCCACTCCTCTGGCTATGGTGCCTGCCGCGTTCCCACCACGTTTCTCTTGGCTGAAGCATACAGTTCCGGGTGTTGTGCCCGAAAGAGATCACTGCAGCATCAGCACGCAGGCCCATCGCTGCCTGGCTGTGTTACTTACCAGGGGTTTTACCCTTAGTTGCTCACACACACTGGGTGGCAGTGAGGATGGAAATCACTTGAAGCCCTGGACATCACAGACAGCAGAGTTGCCAGGACCACACTTGGCACATGCGGCACACTGGGAGATCTGAGCTGCGTCTGTAGGAGTCTAAGCCCCCAGTGCTATTCCTCTGGGCCCCAACGTCTTTGTTAGGGGCCATGCCTTGCAGTGCTCGGGGATTATCCTTGCCTCCGGGCTTGTAGGTTAACTTCTACTCCATCCTGCTGAGCAGTATTTTTCTGACCCTGACTCTCCACGTTTTATGGACCGACAGAGTTCTTTCTGATTTGGGGGTTACATCTAGCAGTGCTTGCAGACTACTCCTGGAGCACTGCGCCAGGGACCATATGGTGGTGGGGATTGAACATGGGCCCCTATCATGTAAAGCCTACACTCAGATCACTGAGCTCTCTTACTTTTTGTTTTATTCTGCTTTTGAACACATCCCCGTCCACAGCCAACAGCATTCAGGGACTCAGAGGTAACTTGGGACAGTGCTTCAGGGACCATATGCAGTACCAGGGATCAAACAGGGGTCACTGCATGTAAGGCGAGCACTTAATGGCCCCATACTGTATCTCTGGTCCCCTGCCACTTTTTTTTCCTAATTTTTTTGGGGGGTGGAGGGGGGAGTGTCACACCCAGCGATGCTCAGGGGTTACTCCTGGCTCTGCACTTAGGAATTACTCCTGGCAGTGCTTGGGGGACCACATAGGATGCGGGGAATTGAACCCGGTCTGCCGTGTACAGGGCAAATACCCAACCCCACGTTCTATTGTTCCAGTCCCCCGCCCTTGCCACTTTTTAAAGGACTGACCAAAATCCTTCTCTGGGTATTTTGAACCTATGAAAGAGTTAAGAGACTCCAAGGACCAGTGTTCAAACTCTAGTTCTCTTGTGTTATCTTAGGAAAGTTACCTCCCTCAGTTTCCTCCATGCCTGCTTTCTCTTCTACCACCAAAGAGCACAGTAGTACTTTTTAAACTGAGCTTGTTGTGATTAAATTAGACAACAGATGTAAAGTGCTCAGGATACTACTTGGCAAATTGTAATTCTCAGTGTTACAGTAACAATGCAATCATAGTTAAGAGCTGTAGTTGACTGCACGATCATAAAGCCAGACCATCCTCCCAACGGCGACCCTTCCTCTTCTCCCCAATACTATAGCAGTGTCCACTCACCACCCTGACCCAGTCTACTCCAGCCCACCATTTCCGCCTCTGCAAACATCCCATATGCTTTCCTGCTACTAGTCTCTTGAGTCACTGCACCTACCTGAACTGATTTATTCCCTTTCCTTCAAGTTCTCAAGTTCAATCTCCCCACAGCTACAAAGATTTAGCAAAAATCTGACTTCCCTGCATGTTTCCCTCATGCACTCAAACAGCTGAATCCCTTATTCCTCCCACTCTAAAAAGTGTGTTTGCTTATACTGTGAGAATGGTATTCAGCCAAATTTCTTTATGTCCCATCTTCCTTAAGTAGGGATCATCTTAGGTCGGTCTGCAGCCTCACTGCCGTTACACAGTATCCACTGAGACCACAGGTACTTAGGCCCATCCCCCCCCCCCCCCCCCCCGCAGTTACCTGTATCTGGGAAGAAGCTGTTGGCCAGCTGCTGCTGCATTGCCAGTTGTTGAGGTTTCATGCACATAGAAGGTGGCATAGCACCCATGGGCTTCTGCGCCAACACTGGCTGGGAGCTCTGCTGAGGCACCAAGCCCGCCTGCCCTCCATGCTGCCCACTTAACATATGCCCTTGGTTGGAAACCATAGGCATGGACGGGGCCAGACGCTGCTGGAGGGCATGAGCTGGTGGCTGGGTGGGCATCAGAGGCTGGGTCAGGCCTGGCTGTCGGGAACCTCCAAGTCCCAAGGCGAGCTGCTGCTGGGGCCCAGCCAAACCGGGCGAAGAGCCTTCGTGTGGCAGAGCCATGGTCTGGGAAGGACCAGGCGTGGACAGCAGTGAGTGTTGCTGCGGCTGCGGCTGCGGCTGCGGCGGCGGCGGCTGCGGCTGCTGCTGCTGGGCAGGATGGAGTTTCGCAGAGAGTTGCTGCTTCTTCTGCAGCTCTTTCTTCTCGTGCTCCAGCAAGTCCTCAATGAGCAGGGGTAACTCGCTGGCGACAAGGGAGCTCTCCATCTTGTCCAGTTCATCCCCGGAGGCTGTATGTCCACCAGGCAAGGACAGAGCCCCACTCTCTAGCTCAAACTTTTCCAGCAAGGACCCTCCAGGGCCACTCAGTGGGCTGGGGGTCAGCAGATGACCTGGTGGTCCTCCTGTGGCACCAAAGGGGCCCTTCTCAGCTGTCTGTCCACTGCTGGGAAAGGGCCCTGGGCCCATGCGAGCATCCCGACTGCCTAACACACTCTGTCCTGGTTTCAGTCCCAGGCCTAGAGGGGTGGTAGCAGGTGCTGGCTCAGCCTTGGGGGTATTAATGGTAAACTGGCAAGGGGAAGGGTGGCGCCCACTCTCCTCCACCTTGGGCTTCACCTCAGGGAGCACTGATGCCAGACGGGGCTCGGAGGCATCGGCAGCTGGGGGTGGGCGTTCCTCAGGGCCCAAGGGCCCCGGCTCCACACCCCGCAGGAGGGCCTCCCGCTCGGCCTTTTCGTTGGCCGACTCCACCAGCCTCAGGTGCTCGTTGAAGGTGTCCTTCTTGTCCCCCGTGTCCAGCTCTGGGTCAGTGTAGGCCAACAGGTCAAACTCATCCCCATTGAGCAGGTCGTCTAAGTGGGGGTCGTTCGTCTCCAGGTTCTCCAGGGTGCCCAGCTCATCGTCTCCCTTGGCCACGTCCACGCCCAGGCCCAGGTGGGCCAGCTCCTCGTCGTCCTCCAGGGCCTTGTGGGCATCAAAGTCGTCGTCCAGCTCGGGATCCTCGCAGGGCAACTTCCCGGCTTCCAGGGCCAGAGGAGGCGGGCGGCTGAGCTCAGTCCTCGACGGGGGCCGGCCGACCAGCTCCAAGCCAGCTGGCAGGGTGGGGCCCTTGGTGTGGGGCGCTGGATGGAGGCTGTTCAGTTCAGGGGCTGGCGGGGCTGAAGGCTTCTGTGGTGGAAGGCCCGACACAGCCAGGCCGCGAAGCCCTTCAGGAGCCAGGCGGTGGGAATCCTCACTCACAGGGTAAAAACGGGATCTCTGAGGGGGGCCCTGGCCAGGGAACGGAGCACCCCCAGGCCCTAGTCCTTTCTGTACATTGTGTCGCAACTCAATGAACTGGGCAGGACCAGCGGGGCCGGGCACCGGCTCTCCAGGGCCAGGCAGACGAGCGGGGATGCCCGCCAAGGGGGAACCAAGGGCCTGGCGGCCAAGTTCAGGTGCAGGAGCTGACGGGAAGCGAGCGGACATGGCGAGTCGCATGGAGGTGGCTGCCGTGGCCTGCTGCTGCGCCTGCTGCTGCTGCTGCTGCTGCTGCTGCCACAGCTGCTGCTGCTGCTGCAAGGGCAGGGGCCCGGGGTAGGGCGCTCGCTGGTAGAAGGCCTGGGAGCCTCCCACCAGTTGCCTGGAAGGAAACACAGAATCAGAGGACGGGACAGTCAGGCCGAGCAAAGTTAACAGCCGTTTCCACGTGGGGGAAAGAAAGGAGGCCAAGAGGAGACTGGAAAGGAAACAGAGGAAAGTCGAGGCGGCCACAACAGTGGTTAAGATCTGGGTTTGCCCCAGGAAACCCTCCGGAGGCTCACCGGTTGTTCACATCCAGAGCGGAAGGGGTGGCTGGTGGGGGTGGTCGGGAGAGCCGCTCATCAGTGGGAAAAGCCCCAGGCCCCAGGATGGTGGGGCCGCCCAGTTTGCTTGGGGGCAAGCCTGCGAGACTGTTCTTGTCCTGGGGAGAGAGGCAGATGAGCCCGCACGGCCCGCAGGCACCGAGACTCCCCGACCCCCACCAGCACTCTAGCTACCTGGGTCCCAGGGAAGGGGGTCTGGCCTCGATTCAGCTGCTCAAAGGCAGGGCTGCTCGTCTCAGCACCCCAGCTGCTCGGGGGCCCCACTGCTCCTGCAGCTGCTGCAGCTGTCTCCTTCTCCTGCCGCAGGGTGTTGCGCTGAATCTGCTGCCGAATCAGCAGCTCCCGGAGCCGCTGGCGCTGTTCAGAGCAGAAGAGCAGAAGAGGGTGAGTCTGTTCCACTCGGGCCGGAAGGCTGGCACCAGGGCTGTGGAGGGGGGGTGGTGACTGACCTGTCGCTGCTTCTCCAGCTCTGTCTGGCTAAGGCTGGACAGGCCTGGCTCCTGGGTGCCGCCAAGTTCAGGGGCAACCAAAGAGCTGCTCATTCCAGCCCCCGGGTCTTCTCGCTTGTCGGCCGGAGAGGCGATGCCCACCCGCTGCGTGGCCCCGTGGGACAGGTAGGGGAGGGAGCCGTCGGGCGCAGAGGGGAGGACTGACGGGGGTCGCAGTGGGGACAGCCCGTAGCCCTCTCCCGTGGATCCGGGGCTGGGTCCCAGGGGGCTCCCCGATGGGTGGAAGTTCCCTGTGGCTACTGCGTAGTTTGTGCTTTGAGGCTTGCCCAAGGTAGGGCCGGGCCCAAAATGGCTGTTGATCCCATGGGGGGGAGGAAGGCCAGGCTGAGAGACAGGGGGCTTTAAGGAGGGGTCCCCGACCGCCTGAGGGAAAGTGAAGCGCATGGGAGAGGGAGTGCCCACAAACGCACCAGTCCCAGGGGACCGGGCAAAGTTGGGGGGCTGCCCACTTGGGACCTTGGCGTGGAGCTCCCCTGCCGGCCCCGAGGGCAGGGCTGCTGGGAAGCCCCCGGCCCCCAGAGGAGTGTGGGCAAGAGGCCCGGCCTTAAAGGCAGCTTCGGGAGGCTGGGGTCGGGGCGGCTTATGCAGCGGGGCGAAAGGGTCTCGGGACTGAGGGCGGGAGGGGGGGCGGGAATAAGGGTCGGGGGACTGGAAGCGAGGGGTCACGGGGGACGGGCAGAAAGCCTCGGCAGACAGGGGGCGGGGTGTCAACGGGGACTGGGAGCTGGACTGGGACTGGGGACTGGCGGGCACTCGGGAGAAAGGGTCGGAAGGCAGCGAGCGAGGCGGCAAGGAACAGCAGTTCTCGGGGGGCGGGGGCTGGGGCCGCGGGGTTGACGGGGGCTGGGCGTAGGGGTCCGAATAGGGGCCAGAGCGGAAGATGTCTGAGTGGCTGGGGGGAGAAGGAGCCAAAGTCTGGGCAGGCGCTGGCTCCTGGGGCCTCAAGCCCAAGCCTGGGCTCTGGGGTTCTACCTGAGATGCCCGAGGGGTCAAGGGGGCTTTGAAGACATCAGGTGCCTTTAGCTCCAGGCTGCCCAGGTGGGGGCCGGAGGAGGGCGAGTCGGCAAAGCCAAGGTTGGGGGCCCCGTAGCTCGGAGAGGAGGCCCCAAGCTCTTCCTTCTTCACCTCCAGAGCCTTCCGAGACTCCCCGAAAGGCGGAGGTGACAGCAGGGGCTCCGAAGTCTTGCCCCCGCCGCCCCCCGGGCTCTCGGGCACAGCCAGGTTGTCCAGTGAAGGGCAGCGGGGCTTGAGGAAGGGGTCCGGTGTGGAGGGCTGCTGGCGGGGGGTGCCGGGCGGAGTAGCGTGGAATTCCCCTGGCTGGCCAGGCCCAGAGCGAGATGAAGTGCCCAGCGCCGAGGGCTGGGAGGGGGCCCCAGTGGGACTCGGGTAGGGGGGGTAGGCGGGGGGCGCTGCAGGGAAGCGGGGCTCCAGAGCGTAGGCGGGGGCCAGTCCGAAGGGGTCCTGCGAAGGCACTTGGGCGGGCACCTGGGCTGGGAGCTTGAGGAAGAGCTCACCGGGCGAGTCGGGGCCGGACACGGCGCCCACCGGCGGCTTCAGGAACCCATCCGCAGAGGTAGACAAGCCGGCGGGGGGAGTGGGGCTGCCAATGAAAATGGTGGGGGCGGCAGCAGGCGGCGGGCTGCCCAGTGCCCCTGGCTGGGGGGGAATGCGGAGCTGTAGGGCCGGTCGGTCCGGCTTACGGGCCATGTCGCCCACCTTGGTCTGCTTGTTGATCTGGCTCTCGGCCTGCTACAGGGGAGACCAGCACAGAGCCGTCAGGCTGCTGTGGGCAGGCCTAGGCCCTGCCACCCCCACCCCGTGAGGCCACCAGCTACGGGACGCGGATGGTACAGCCCGGCCCGGTCCCCGCTCACCTTTTGCACCTTGTTGATGCGATGGGCTGCCCGGTTATCTTTGGCCTTTTGCTGGAGAACACGCAAGACACAGCCGTAAGCCTAGAGCTCAGAGCCCCGCCAATCCTCTCCTCCCCATTCCAAAGCCGATTCCCCCTGGCCCACGCTGCTTGAGGAGTGGGGGATGGAAAACACAGAGGCGAACTGCCCACAGGCCTCCTTCGCTGCCCCACACTGCCCAGGGCTCCTGCCCGTCTCACCAGGTAGGGGGCTTTGTCAGCAGCTGGAACCTTTCTCCAGAGCTTCATGATTTGCTTGCATCGGCTGGACCAGTCTGGAGATCGAGTGATGGTCGGATGGTGGTAGGAGGTTTAACAGGTGATCCGACACCACCCGCCCCAAGTGACCCGCACTCCCGACCGCCACCGGCTGCCCCCGCCCCCCAGGTACCTGGGTAATCTTGCTTGAGATTGGGAAAGTTCATGTTGGCATAGAGCACAGGCGAGATGGTCGAGAGCTGGCCTAACTCCTCGTCCTTCTCCCAGCGCTGAAGACTCCGCTGGTTATAGGAGAGTCCGTCGCCCTCACCCTCCGTGGTGGGGGTGGTGGGGGTGGAGGGTGTGGTACCCCCTGAGCCCGTCCAGGGGCTGTCTGGCTCACCGGGTTCCGGGCTAAAGAAGCCCCCGCGCTCCCTGGGGCGCAGGGGCAGAAAGTCACAGGGGGCAGGAATGCTGGGCTCCACCCCATGCCGACGCCCAGAGCGCCCCAGGCCACCACCCCATCCCCACAGCCCCCACAGGGGAAGAGGAAACGGGGACTGCCCGGGAGACCAAGTCTGGACACCAACCTTGAATCCAGGAATGGGGACTGGCAGAGGCCTGGATAGGAGTCTATCGGGCTGTTGGAGGGGAGACTGCCCAAAGGGAGCCCACCTACAAGAGGCACGGGGTCAAAAAAGGGGCGCAAGCCGCCTGTGCTGGGGGCAAGCCCAGTCATCCCCGCCAGCCCAGTCTTCAAGCCGCTCCCACCTGGATCACCTTGAAGAAAGGGTCTCTGCAGCGGTGTCCGGCTGCCATCTAGGCCAGGGGTCCCACAGCCCAGAGGCTGCTCTCGTTCAGAACCCAGAACGTCCTTGAAGAGCTGCTGCAGGTCCTTGGATTCCATCTTGGGCAATTCTGTGGAGGAATGAGGATGGCTGTTACTAAGGAAGCAGACCGGGCACCGAAGGAGGCCCTGGGCAGGGAAGGGGCTAGGACCCCTTAGGAAAGCCACCCAGACGGGCAACCCGCAGGCAACAGCTTCTCCCACAGAGACCCCTCATCCACGCAATGTGGGCCAGCCTCACCTTCTGTGGAAATCCTGTCTAAGTCAGAGCTAAGCATCCCTTCACCTGGGGTGCCTGGCTTCTCGGGGTCACTGGGCACTGGGGATGCTTTTACGCCCCCATCCTCAGGTCCTGCATTTGAGAGAAGCTCATGAGCCAAAGCCAGAACGGAAGAACCAAATGGGACACCCTGAGAGGCCGGAGCAAAATTACAGTAGGTGGAACGCTTGCCTTGCACACGGCCAGTCCGGGTTCGGTCCCCAGCACCCAAGCCCCTCCAGGAGTGATCCTTGAGCCCAAAGTCAGGCACATGCCCAGAGCAAAACAAAACACGGAGCCCCCTGAAGTGTGGAGGATGTGGACTCATTTCCAGCCGCCAATGCTGAGGATGCTCAGAGGCAGAACAAATGGACAGAGGCCAAACCAGCAGCCCTCACCTGGTGTATCAGCCTTGCCCTCGGGCCCGCGGGATTCTTCATCTGCAACATCAGGACCATCTTCTGTAAGCAACAATCCCACTCGAGTCAGACACATCCCACCCCTGCGACGGGCTCCCAGCTCCACAGTCTAGGCAGGCCCCTGGTCTACTCCCCGAGCCCAGCTCGTTCCCCACCAGATTCCTTTACCAGCTCCGAAGGAAGCTGGGTCCCTTCAAACGGCCTCACGGCTACACAACGAACCTTTCTGCAAGGCGGGAAGCTCCTTCCTATCCGAGCCTCCATCCCCCTTGGCCTTTGAGGTTCCGAGTGCGAAGCTTGGCCGGCCCACCCCGACTGCGAAAAGGGCCTTTCGGCTCAGGTCCAGCAGCTCCTTCCCAAAGAAGGCTTCCTGCGGGAGAGTCAGGGAAAGCCAGCTGCCGCATGCCCCCGGACAGCTGGCCATCCCGGCCCTCGGCCTGAGCCCCACCTGCAGGTAAGCGGGGAACATGTCCTCCAGCTTGCTCTTCTTGCGCCCACGCCGTTGCTGCTTTTTCTTCTCGTCCCCATCGGCTACGCTCTGGTCCACAGAGCCCTCTGCAGGCAGGTCAGTGGACATCACTGGGACAGGACGGCAGGTGTCAGACACACTGCTCCCAGCGCGACCTGACACGCTCTGCCTACTGCGCCCCCCACCCAGTGATGCCCCCGCCCGCTTGCCCTTCGGGTGGGCCCACCCGCTAGGGCTCCCTGCAAGGGCCCGATGTCCTGGCATCCCCACCTTCGCCCAGGCCCCACTGGTGCCCTCACCCGTCTCACCCTCGTCGGGCTGCCCATCCCCACTCAACACCTCGGCCTGAGCAGCAGGCCCCTTTTTCACGCGGGTGTGGGATTTCCGCTGCCGCACCATGAAACCACCAATGCCTGTGAGGAGGCAGAACTGAAGCTGAGAGGCTGCAGGGCCGGGGCGAGCGTCCCTGCACACCCACCTTCCCCTTCGCAGGCCCTCACCAGGCCGGTAGGGCTTGCGTTTGCGCTTTTTGCTCTCCTCGCTCTCTTCTTTGCCGGGCTCCACGTCAGGGCTTACGGGGCCTTCCAGTTTCATCTCACACTCCATGTGCTCGACGCCACCTGTGCGCAGAGACAAAGGGGGGGCTCTTCAGAGGCGCGGGTCCCTGGACTCTGGTCCGGCACCCCAAGGGCGGTGGTGCATGACTTGCCCTTCCTTCCGGGGACTCCCGACCGACCTTCGCCTTTGAGCAGCTCGTCAGTGTCCAGGTCCCCATCCTTCTTGTCCTCAGGGCCGAGCGCATCTGGGGGCTCAGGACCCTCCAGCCCCACCTCGCCCGGGAGGCCGGGCCGCCCTCGGCGCTGGCGCCGCTTGTGCAGGGGCGACATGGTCAGGTTCCGCAGCACGGCCATGCCCGTCTCCGTCAGCCACACCCCCTCGAAGCGGAAGTACTGAGGCTCTGTGCAAAGAGGGAGCACACGTGAGCCCTCGATGGACGCGACAGCAAGCAGAACTCAGTTTCCGTCTAAATTCCAGGGAGGACAGTCTGAGGACTAGAGAGGAGGGACCCCAGGGGGTGCCGAGAGCCTGACTCCGCTCGGGTCCCGGCACACCAAACAGCTTCTCTACTTAATAGCTTCTTGGAGCTCGGAGGGCCCCGGCTTGCTAAACACAGCAGTTCGCAGGTGCCAGAAGCAGTGCCCTCATCCTAAAGGACGACACTGACCCAGCCCTTCACCGGGCCGAGGAAGCTGCATCCTCTGGAGAGGAGATGCTGAGACCTGGTGGAGTAAAATCCACCTGGAAAAGTCGAGGTCTTGGCTCTAACCATCAACTTGCCACTAACCCACTGGGTGACGCCGGGCAGACCATGCAACCGCCCTGGGTCTTAGATTCCTCATCTGAAAACACAGCGTAGCTAGAGCCGGAGTTCGATGGTGTCTAAAGGCACCGCTGGCTCTGGGGTTTCACGCTGCTGCGACTCACCTGGCTCCTTCACCTTCATAGGTACCAACTCTGGCGGTGCAACAGGCACTGTGACGAGAAGAACAAACCAAGGATGGAGCAGCTGAGGCTCTATCCCCAAGCTCAGCACCCTACTCTGCGCCCTTGGCTTCCCGGGACCTGGAACTCACCAGCGGGCTTGACCACGTAAGGCTGGCAGGAGACACAGTCGAAGCCCTCATCAGCCGCCTGCTCGACATCATCCTCTGTGAAGAGGCTCTCACAGCCAGCATGCATCCACCTGGGGTCAGGGGACAGCAGACGAACCCGGATGATGAGAGGCTGAGAACAGGGAAGAGGGAGACACCCAGGGAAAGGGGGACTCTCACCGTTCACAGTGCCGGCACTGGATTAGCAGGTCCTCTTCCACGTACGGGGCATGACAGATGGGACAGGTCACCAGGCTGGCGCAGGGCCCGCAGTGCGTGTAACTATTCTGCCACTCACAATGAAAGCCCGGGGAGGCGGCCCCACACTGCATGCAAGACACACACCTGGTGGGGGCAGAGAGAGACCCTCAGCACCAGACCCACCGAAGTATCCAGAGGCACCCTCCCGCAGAGGCAGGCAACCAGTCTGCTTCGAGAGTGACCAGCACACTCTCATGTCTCAAACCCTGCCCCTCCCACTCAAGACCCTTACCACTTGCACTTCCAGCCACCCTTGGGCACGGTGAGCAGTGGGGGGTCCAGGCAGTACGTGTGGTAGCTAATGTCACAGTCGTCGCAGAGCAGCAGGCGCGAGGGGTCTGACGCCTGGCCACACACCTCGCACACGATGCACTCCACACAGCGCCAGCCCTTCAGCAGCATCACCTTGGTGATCTGGTGCAGAAAACGGCAATTCGTGAACCCGTCTGGGTGTGACAGGGGGCCCCACGCCACTTCTTAGGGGGTGATGGTACTTAGATGGGCGGGGCTGGACTTCGGGGCATGTGATCTCCTGTGACGCACCCTCACCTCCCAACTGGCTCGATACTTAGCAGGGACCGCAGGGAATTCTGCTGGACAGAGAAGCCAGCAGTACCTGACCTCTGCCTCCACACTAGCAATGGCGCCCCTCCACAAGTCAAGGCCCAGAGCAACTGAGCAGGGCTGGGGAGAAGCCTGAAGGGTCAGAGCACACGCCTGTCTGGTCGTTGGCCCCGGCACCAAGCATCACCAGATGCAACCCAAAACCCAAAAAATTAACACTTATGTATAGTCTTTGACTGTATTTTCCTCTAATTTTTGCGAACATTTAGAATCTGCTTCTGCTACAAGTTAGAATATTACAGCAGACAAGTTCTAAGTTAGTCTTCATCTTCGATCTGCATCAAGTTTCCTTCCTTTTTTTTTTTTTTTTTTAAGCTTTTTGGCTCATATCAGGCGATACTCAGGGGTTACTCCTGGTTCTGCTCTCAGGAGGCACTCGGGGACCACACAAAATGCTAGGGACTGAATGTGAGGCAAATACCCTCCCCACTGTACTATCACTCTGGCCCTCACGTTTTCTAATAGCAAAGTTCTCACAGTTTATATGATGCGCTGAATGATACCACAAAGTCACCAAAGAATATTACATTTCCAAAGTACTTAAACTCAAAGTAGGTTCTAAGTTTTTTGTTTCTGCTTTTTGTTTTTTGTTTTTTTTTTTTTTTTTTTGGGCAATACCAAGAACTGAGCCCAGGGTCTTACACACGTAATGCTCTACCACTGAGTCACATCCCTGGTCCCCTCTGCAAAGCAGTATGATTCACTACTGAAGACTACTAACTTATTTCTACAATCAATAGCCATTTTTTAAAACTATCAACCAAGGATTTGGCTCAGGAGCTTACGTGCCGTACACATGGGCTGATTCACGAAAGAAAACAAAAAAAGACTATTATGGCCAGGACACAGGTCCAGTATAAAAACAGGCAACTGATCCTGGGTCAGGAAAAGGGCTCAAAGAGCTGAAGTTCAGGTTTTGCATGTGAAAAACCCAGGTTTGATCCCCAGTTCCACATGTTCCCAAGTAGTGGGCTAGGACTAGCCTGAACACCACTGGGTATAGCTCAATAAACTATAGAAGGGAAAAAACAACAACCTAATTCCATCCCCCAGTCTATCCCCTTGTGAGCCCTAAACTCACCTTGCTGTTGACACAGTAAGGGTGATAGCACTGGGAGCACTGGGAACAGGCAAGGAGGTGGCCCTCGGCCCCACGACCAAAACTGCCACATACCACACACATGTCCTGTGAAAAAAAGAGAGACTGGAATGTCCAACGGGGCCTCCTGCTCACACTCAGTCCCACAAACGCCTGAAACACTAATCTTAGAAGAGGGAGGAATTCAGCACCAGGACAATGTCACCACATCAGGGTACCCTGTGGCTTTCCAAGGTGCTTTTCTGATCAGGTCACTTGAATCTTTACAATCTGAAATTAGTAAAAGTAGGACAAAGGAAAATAAGGTGGGTACAGACTTGTTGGTATGAGAGCCAGGCAGATAGTTTAATGGGCTGCTTTGGCACGCAGGAGGCCCGGGTCTGATCCCCAGCAACCCATGATCCCTTGATAAACTGCCAATCATGGGCCCAATCCCCCTCCAAAAAAAAAAAAAGGCTGGTTAGGGTAAGAGAGTAAGAGACGTGACCAACTGTCAGTTGGTTAGAAAGCTCCTGACCATCTCTGCCTTTCTCACTGCTGTTGACCAAGTTCTAAGTTCCCTGCCAAGCTCAGAGGAAACATGGGGAGAAATCTGGTGGTGAGACAAACCAAAAACCAACATCATTCTCAATCCCCGTTTTCTCCAGCTGGGTTTCCCTAGAGGTAGGTCCTGTGTTATCCCCAATCTAACCCCCCCAACACAGCCCCGTTCTCCCTGACCTCTCACTGAGGATGAAACTACATCAGTCAAATACCTGCATCAGGACAAACTTGTCTGTGTTGGAGAAGAGAACCACAGTATTCTGCATGGTGTCATCGTCATCATCTTCTTCCTCCTTGCTGGGAGAACTATCGATATCAGCAACCTTAAGGCAGAGAGTGTGGAAAGTGAGGCAGCTTAATCTAGCCATATTTCAGCTGCTTTCCTCTCCAGGACCGCGGAAAGCCGGCATGAACTCTGGACTGAACGGAAAGCTAGGAGCCAGGACTAAGAGATGGGAGAACAGCCCAGACCTGTTCGAGCAATGGCAAAGACTTTGGAGAAACAGGGACTTTTGGATGGAAGGAGCCCAGAGCCAGACACCCCTACTCCTGGCTCGTAAGCACAGAACCGGCAGGGCTGAAAGGGGAATGAACTCGAAGGGACTGGCTGAGTTGTCTGGGGGAGGAAATCCTCTCCTTACTACCAGAGTCTCGATGGAAGAAGTCGTCGATTTTAGCCGGGCCCGTCCTCTCCCACGGCCTCCGTGTGCTCCTCCTCGTGGGCGCCTCCTTCCTGGGAAACTGCTACTGCGACCCTGATGAGAAAAGCAGACCATGACACGGGCAAGTCCTGGGCGGCTGGGCAGGAGGGGAACCAGGAGTCCTTTCGGGCAGGGGGAAGAGCCAAGACGTGCGACAGCAACAGGCAGGAATGCTGGCACCGGTCACGCCCCCTCCCAAAGGGAAAAAGCGCAGTCAAAGGGGGGGAGGCAGCGGTTTGAGAGACCCGAGTTTCTCATCCTAGGCCTGACCACAGTGGGACGATCACTTCGTCCTCTACGGCTAGCACCCTCCTTAACCGAGTCGGAGGATGGGCTGCGGGCTCCGTGAGAGCCTGGACACAGGGCGCCCCGGCAGAGCCACGCAACTCTGGGCACGTCGAGCGGCTGCTCAGCCTCACCTGCTTCATGCGGGAGCGGGCCGGGGAGCTGCGCCGTCTCCCCTTGTCCCCCTCCGCTTTGCCTCCGCTGATGGCTGTCCCGGCCTCACACAACAGTGAGTCATCAGTCTCTGGCAGTGAGTCGGTGCAGAGCCGCAGGGAGCCCTCGTCTCGGGCTGGACTGACGTCTGTCGAAACCCCCAGCTCCATGGACAGGGAGCCACCCCCCTCGGGGTCCGGGGAGCCCAGCAGGGGTTCCGAGCCAGGGAAGCTGGCACTGGCGTCACCCTGGCTCAGATTGGAGATCTCGTTGACAATGTCGGACTTGATGAGAGTGGGCGGGGTGGGGGCCACCGGCACTCGGGGCTCCTCTTGCTCTTCGCAGGGTGAAACCTGCCCGGCCTGCTTGCACTCTGGGCCATAGACCTCCATAGGGGTCGCAGGGGCCAGCTCCTCAGGGTCCAGGAGCACCGGGGAACCCTTCAGTTCACCCCCCGAACTGCCCGAGGTCTGTCCCGCCTCTGGCTGAGAGCCGGGAGTGTCTGTGCCGTCCATCGGGGCTGCCTCCTCTCCCAGTCCGGAGAAGTCAGCCAGGGCTGGGGCCGGGCTGGGGGCAGGGCAGGACAAGGTCCCCACGGGGGAGGGGAGGGGACTGGTGGGGGTGGGCTCCAAGGCTGGACACTCAGGTTCTGGGACCTTGTCAGTCTCCATCTCGGACGCCTCAGCCTCGTCGGACCCCTCTGCCTCTTTCCTCACGGGACTCAGCGGAGAGGGGACGGACAGGGGCGGAGCAGGAGGCGAGCACTGGGGAGGAGAGTCTGGGGGAGGCGGGCGACACTCGGGAAGCGGCGAGCACGAAGGAGGGAGGGGCGCCATCAGGATGGGAGAGGCCGGGCCCGCGGGGGAGCCCGGGGACGGGGGCAGGATCATGGGGGGCACAGGCTCGGGGTCAGTGCAGTTAGCTTCTGGGGGAGGGCTGATGGGGGTCTCGAGGATGGGGGCAGCCAACGGCGACTCGGGATCACTGTCCCCTTTGGCACCAAAGGGGTACTCCAACTCCCCCAAAGGGGACAGGGCTGGCGGGGCCACCGCGGTGATGATGGGGGAGAGCGGTGGAGGAAGCGGATCTGGAGGGAGAGAGAAAAAGGCCAGTTCTCAGCGGGGCCGCGCCAGGAAGAGCCGGGGCGGTCCGAGCGGAGTGGTCCGGCCGCGCCTTACCTGGCGGCATCAGCTGCGGAGACAAGGCTGGGCCCCCGGACGGCGACAACGGCAGCTCTGCCGGCGGCGGGGACAGGGGCGGCTCCCCCGGCTCGGACAGGGCCGGCTCTCTGAGCTGGGGGGACAAGGGCGGCTCCCCGGGCGGGAGGGTCGAGGGCGACTCTGCAGGTGCCGGGCAGAGGCCTGCTGCCCCAGGGGGCTCCTCGGGTCGAGGGGCCAGGCACGACTCCTCGGGCTGGGGTGACAGGCGCGGCTCCTCGGGCTGGGGTGACGGGTGCGACTCTTGGGGCCGAGGGGAGAGACGCGGCTCCTCCGGCCGGGGGGACGGGCGAGGCGCCTCCGGTGCGGGGGACAGACGTGGCTCCCCAGGTCCCGGCGAGAGGCCAGGTTCCTCAGGCGCAGGGGACAGGTGCGGCTTCTCAGGCACAGGGGACAGACGTGGCTCCTCCAGTCCGGGGGACGGATGTGGCTCCCCCGGACAGGGACAGACTTGTGATTCCTCAGGCAGTGGCGACAGAGGGGACTCCTCCCGCGGTGGGGACACAAGCAAGTCGTCTGGTGGTGGCGAAGCAGGCAAGTCCTCGGGTGGCGGCGACAAACGTGAGGCCTCGGGCGGCGGGGACGTGGGCACCTCCTCTGGCGGCGGGGACAGCGGAGACTCCTCAGGTGGCGGGGACAGGCGCGCGACCTCAGGTCTCCGGGACAGGAGGGACACTTCGGGCGGGGGGGACATGGGCGAGTCTTCGGGCGGGGGGGACATGGGCGAGTCCTCAGGCGGCGGGGACAAGCGCGAGGCCTCGGGGGGAGGCGAGAGGGGGGACTCCTCGGGCGGCGGGGACAGGGGCGACTCTTCAAACGGCGGGAACAAACGCGACGCCTCCGGTGGCGGAGACGTGGGGGACTCTTCGGGCGGGGGGGACAGGGGCGACTCCTCAGGCGGCGGGGACAGGCGGGAGGCTTCGGGCGGTGGGGACGTGGGCAGCTCCTCCGGCGGGGGGGACAGGGGCGACTCCTCAAGTGGCGGGGACAGGGGCGAAGCTCCGGGTGCTGGAGACAGGGGTGCCCTGAGTCTGGGGGGCGGGGGCGACTCCTCCGGCGGAGAGAAGGGCGACTCCTCCGGCGGGGAGAAAGAGGACGGCTCAGGGGGGGGAGACAGGGGCGACTCCTCGGGCGGCGGAGAGAGGGGCGACTCCTCGGGCGGCGGGGACAAGCGTGAGGCCTCGGGCGGCGGGGACGTGGGCGACTCCTCGGGCGGCGGGGAGAGGGGTGACTCTTCCGGTGGGGGCAGCAGGGGCAATTCCTCGTGCAGAGGGGTGTCCAACTGGGGCTCCAGCTGTGCCCCTGCTCTCCCTAGGGACACAAGACACCAGCTCAGCCCCACCCCCAGGAGAGAAGGATCGGGGCAAAGCGGAAAGCGTCCCAAGCCACGGAACAGTGGAGACCGTCTCCAGGGGTCGACAGAACCCGCTCACCTAGTGGTTTGGCTTCACATTGCAGGGGCCCAGGTTCCGTGGGTTGCATAGAGGTCACATGCCCACCCTTTGGCTGCTCTTGGCATGCGACGTACAGGGCACTGGGCTCCTCAGTGGGGGCGTCGCCAGGCTCAGGGGGTGCGAGTCTGCGGAGGGCACAGGGGTGCAGGCATCGAGGTTCTCTACCTGCTGCGTTCCCGAGCACACGCTGCGGGAGGACCAGAGCCACCAACTGTCCTGCCCACCCGCCCTTGGCTCTCCTGGAAAACTCTACTCGACCTGACGGAGCCCATCGACCCCAGTACTTCTGAGTCCCCAACCCACTCTCTGCCGGGCCATGGACTCTACTTACCTGTGACAGGCAGGGGGAGGCTGCTCGGCCAGGGAACTGACAGGCTGGCCCCCCAGGGCTTTGTGACAGCGGTGACAGAGCGAGTAGTTCTCAAACCACTCAGAGTTGGGAGTCAGCTCTGCCGAGCCCGCCCCACAGGCTCGGCACACCCGGCAGGCCTGAGGGAAGGAGCAGGCGAAAGGAGAGTCAGACGGGGAATGGTGGGATGGACGGAGGCGGACTCCGAGGACGGTGGCACCCGGGAAGCCTCACCTTGCACTTCCAAGAGTGAGCAGGCAGTTCTTCCATGGGCGGTTTCAGGCAGAAGGTATGGAACCCTTTGTCACACGTCTCACACACCAACATCTTCGAGTCATTCCCAGGTTTCCTGCAGGGGCACAGGCCACAGAAGAGCCCTCGCTGCCCTCGCGGTCCGCCTGAGCCAGCGCTTTGCCGAAGGCGACCCTCTTGCTATCCCCCCTTACCTGCAGGCTTGGCACACTTTACATTCAGGACACTGCCAGCCGGCACGCTTCCGGGCAGTCAAAGCAGTGTCCAGGCAGGCCCCGTGATAGTGATGCCCACAGCTGGTACAGAAGAACAGGTCACACAGCTCCCCTGGCCCCTCGCAGACCGCACAGCGCGCCTCCTCTACAGCGGGCGGAGGCAGAGAACACAGGTTAGCTACTGAGTTCCTGCCAGACCCAGCGTGGAGCACTTTACACTGAGGCGTCCCTGGGAGTCTGCACTGCCGCAGGCCCAGCCATGGCAAAGCACCTGCACTCATGGGCTCACCCCTCGTCTGGTGGAGCAGACCAGCAGCAGATTCAGACTCCCATCAGCGCCCAGCGGACCAACACCCAAGACACACCCAGCCCCACATATGCCTTCTGTTGGAAGGGCAGGATCTCCGGGGCCAGGGAGCTGGCTCGAAGGGCTGGAGGACACACTCTGCAGGGGGAGCACCAAGTCCACTCCCCAGCACACGGTTCCTGAGCTCGATTAGGGATGTTCCAGCCCGACATAACTGTTTACCAAACCAGATGACATCAACGGCGGGCCTTCTCACCCAAATGTGCAGCTCCTTCACTGTGCTCTGGGCAGAGGAGCTGCAGTTTTTTCATGGATAAGAAGGAACCGCTGGCAGTCGCACAGGGGTAGTGGTAAAGCCGTGGACATCCAGGCGAGCGGCAGGGGATGGAGGCACCGAACCTGGTGCAGTGGGAGCAGCGCTGGAAAGGTGGAGACAAAGCCTCAGTGCCAGCCAGGTTCCTCCCGGGCGACAAGCCGGCACCAACTCTGCCCCGTCACACCCGCTGGCCTTCCCGTCCTTGAGCCTCTTAGAACGCCGCCAGCCCGGCCCACCATCACCCGGACCCTCTGCAGTCCCCTTGGTGAGCCCACCTGTGAGATCCCTGAGAAGATGGCCTTGTCCACACCACAGAGTTCTGAGCCCTCTTGCCCCCAGACGCCCGCCGACCACGCGGCACACCAATGATGAGCCCAGCAGGACCCTTCATAGATGGAAAGAGCAGACAGAAAGGAAAGCGTTAACAGAGTAACTGGGCTTGGAGTGGGGAGAGAGCTTGCCTTGCATGTGGCCTACTGGGGGCCAATCCCCAGGACCCCATAGGGTCCCCCAAGCCCAGCAGGAGTGATCCCTGAGCACAGAGCCCGTACAAACCCTCGCACCGCTGGGTAGGGCCCAAAGACAAACAAACAAGCATCACTACTGACTCAGGACCGCTCTTTCCCCTTTCCCTGCCAAGCCAGGTACCCAGTCTCCTCACCTCCAGGTTCTCCTAGGTGGGCAGGTGTCAGGCCCTCAGGGAAACCGATCTGTGACAGGTCTTCGCCGGGCAGTGCTGCCTCACTGGGTCTGGGGCTCTCCCCAGGAGATGCCACTGGACACTGGGGCCAGTCAAATGGCAACTGAAAGCACCGAAGCTCCCGCTGCCCATGGAGACTGGGCTCCCCGCAGTTACAGAGAGCACAACGCCGCACTGGACCCCCACTGTGGACACACAAGCATCAGGACCAGGCCACTGCCCACAGAAACACCCCGAGATTGGGCATGACTATGCATCCCATACATAAATTCTCTTAACTATCCTCAGGCTCCAATCAAACCCCCGTTTAACTTTATATCCTGTTTCTATCCAACTAGTTACCTGCAGACCTGGGAGGGCTCCTGAAGCCTGAGACCCCCAGAACTGGAAACAGAGACCTCCCCCACATGTGGGTTGGGAAGGTCTGGCTCAGCGGTGCCTGACTCCTCAGAGGCTGCAGGTCCATCAGCTGAATGAACAGAGAAGCAGATGGAAAAAAAGGCCATTATCATCTACTTACCACTCACCCGCCTCGCCCGCTCATCACATCCATGCCATAAAGCCCTCAGTGGATCAGAGATTCGGCATTTCAATGTTTGTGTCCAAGTCCTTCAATCACCTGTCTGTTAAACAGACTTTGCTCCTGTGCTCATGCCAGGATCAGAAATCTAAGGCTACTTCGGAAAAGAATGCGGCTAGCAAAGCCAGAACTGTTCTTACTCACCTGCCGGTTCTGAATCTTTATCCTCACCAGGCGGCTTCTGGCTGTCCATCCCTCTCTCCGACTGGGCAGGGCCCTCTCGGGGAGACCTGGCAGTACCGAAAGAGATCTTTCTCTAGTGCATCTCCCCCACAAAGCATCTTCCCCACAATCCTAGGAAGAAGGCTGCCAACGGCATCTAGAGCCTCCAGAAATCAGAGCAAAACCATCCCAACACGAACCTATACTGACAAGCCATTCTCCCTATTCTCTTGCCCACGGCCAGGTACCCTCTTTCCCACTCTGGATTCTCATGGGTCCCTTCTCACCTTCCCCCTTCTCACTTCCAGCTTCCTATGTAAGAGTTCCCGGGGGGTGGGGGGGGGGCTAAAAAAAAAAAAAAGAGTTCCCAGGTCAATAGCACTGAACTAGAAGCACATCCAGTCTACATCTCATACTGTTCTGTACTGTACCTCCGGCAAAGACACCTCTGCTGTCCTGGCTCTGCTGGGCCCTATTCTCTGGCCTTTTTCCTCATGTCTCATGTCCGCTCTCATCCCAGGTCTGTCAACCCAAGGTAGCTAGTCAGTCTTGGGCCCAGCTAAAATCCCTCTCCCAAACATTCAGTCTGGGGTCTCGCAGGATGTAGAACATATTTCTATAACTAAACTCCAGCTATAGCTGATCTCCCCCACTTCCACTGGCTTCAACCAGAACATCTCAATCACAACTAGAGGAAACACCCCCATTTCTACCCCTTGCCCATCCAAATCCAGCTCAGGCCCACCCCAGACCCCTGCTGTGACTGACTCTGGCTCTTCCTCAGCCCAGAGGCCGCAGGTCGTTGCCCTTGGCAACGCCAACTGCCCTTCCTCCTCAGATGTCCCCAGTAGTTAACAGAAGTGGGCCTTAAGAGTTACTGAGCATGTGTAGCCGGGCGAGGCATGCTGGGAGTTGTAGTCTCAGAAAACACCCTGCCACTCGGAGGAGTTCTAAGCCAGCAGGACACACCAGAGCAGCTTCCTTCCTCTTCCGTCGAGCAGGGTTTCCACATATACAATGGGGGTGGGGGGATAACGGTCCCCTCATCTAAGATACGCCCGCCTCCACCAGAGACAAATGAAGCCCAGGAAAGCTATGTGAAGGCTAAGGTGCACAACTCTGGGTGGATTCTCCTAAACCTCAGAGGGAAGTAAAAACTAGGAAAAAAGGAATGGGATCCTCCAGAGGAGAGAAGGGGAGAGGGCCAAGCTCTGAATGAGAACCGGCGCTTACCCACAGAAAACACAGTGTTCCTAGGGAAAGGGGTGGGGGGATCCCTCACACAGACTTCCAAATAAAAAGCCTGGAGAATTTTTCTCTCCACCCTTCTCCCTCATTCATCTTATTTACCCAGAGGAGCCCTGCCAACCTAGCAAGAACAAGCCCCTCTTCCCAAACCAAATATCAAATATCCCAATCAGTCACTTGGGGGTTGAATGACAGGAGCAGATGAGACGGGGGGAAGTCTCCGAGTTCCGGGGCCAATAAATCAATGGTCCACGAGCCATCCCATTCCCTCTTCCCTTCCCAGGGAGAGAAAACAGCACGGACTTCCCATCCCCAAAGATCAGCGAGGGGCCTCCTGTGACATCTCGCAGGAAAAGGGATCGCTCTACTCTCCTCCTCCCACTAGCAGAATCTCCGCCCGGAAAAGAGGGCATCACCTGTTAACCTCCACTCCCATACTGTCTCCTTCCCAAACCTGCCATACCACACCTGAAGGGAAAGCAAAGTGGTCGCAGGGCTGGCACACGGAAAAGCAGCACTGGAACCTCAAGGGCCTCTGAGAAGCCACCTAGGGGACACGGGGCTTGGAGGTCAGTGGGCCAGCCAGGTCCCTCTCTTCCTACTCAGACATTCAAGGTCTGACCACATCCGGGAGGCTTCCAAGTATCCTAAATGCTTGCGTCTTAACTGTCTCTTCCCACAACATGGTCCCCGAGATCCTCCACCCGCTCAGCTCTCAAAGTTGAGGCGAAAGGAGTCACAAACGCCGAGAAATAAAAAGCAACAGTGATAATACTGTGGGTGGGAGGAGGACTGTCTCAGACAAGGCCAGAGGGACAAATTCCTCTGCCTCCCCCGAGCGCAGCCCTCTCGAGCAAGGAGAGCTGGTACCGCTGCCGGAGGGGCAGGACCCACCTTCCTCCTGCCTCAGAAGACAGAGTAGCAACATCTTCCCAGGCCAAAGGGCCCTGGGAGAGGCGAGAGAGCAAGAAGAATAGTGTCCCCAAGCTTGAACAGACAGACTCTAAGAGCACCCCCAAGAAATCAAAGTTCTATTTTCCTACCTCTAGACCTACTGAACACTGACCTCCAAGATGTAGGCAGTTAGCAGGCCTCTGGCAAGATCTAAACAGGTACCTACCACAAGCTTCCCTGTGCCAGCCTTCAGTCAGAAAACACACACATCTACTCATCGAGGGCTTTTTCACTGGATCTACCCTGGGCTACGCCTGGCCAAGCTGCTTCTGGGGAATTAGAGACCTTGGAGAAGTGCAGACCAAGGCTGGCTCTGCTTGGGCCCAGGTCTAAGAGGCCCCCAACAGCAAGTCACAAGGCAGGGGTTCATCCCAACCTGCTCTCCTCCGCGCCTCCAACCAGATCAATAGTCTCTGCTCCATTTTCCCAACCAAGTGGGAAATGGAGGTTTGGAGGGGTGAGAGACTGGAGCAGGCCCTTGAGTGAACAGCTCTTCTGTAGATCTCAGGACTTCCTGGTTCCCAGCCGAAGAATCAAACCACACCTCTCCCCACCCCCATTTCTGGTCAGTCCTCCAGGAAGAATCCAAATGGAAACATGGGACCCGCTGGATTGGCCCTGGGTCCAACTGGGGTCAGTCCCTGCTTCTAAAAAGAGGTTCCCGACTAAGAAGTTCCCTGGGGACAGAGAGCAGGAGGAGCCCTCCAGGGGAGACAGGGGCAGGGCACGGGTGACAGCTCACTCCAGTCCCCTCTCACTTTGGAGTTACAACCCAGAAATCTTTGAGGGAAAAACCTCTGTTTTCTCCTTTCGGAGACCAGGCTCAAAAGGTCTGGTCTGTGCATCTCAGAGGGGGTGGAGTGAGGGAACAGAACACACTAGCCAAATCCCTGCTGGGCAGCATGACAGCTGTAAGAGTCTGTCCCAACCGGAGGCCCAGAGGTGAGGCCCAAGCTGTACCCTTCACCCTTCATGCACTCACACACCCCACTCCCCAACACCTCCTGCCGGGGGCTGGAAAGACTGACTTTGGCAGCAACAGCTCTTCCAGAGTGGGCAGGAGCAGAGGACCAGGTAGTCCCTAGCAGAAAAGGATCCCCGGGTCTGGGAGAGACCTGCAGGGCTGCAGAGGCCTCACCGGTACCCAGCTCTCCACCCAGGCCCAGAGAAAACGGGAGACAAAGCCATTTTTTTTCTTTCTTTTTTTTTTTTCAGCCCATACTCACAGGGAGCAAATCTCAACGGTCTCTTCTATAATCCCCTAGAGATTATGGCCATCCCAAGAGAAGGGGAGGCTAAGACAGCCCTCGGCCTGTGCAGGGGTCACTTTTGTCAGGCAGGGGCCGCTGGAAGTCGAAGAGGAAGGCCAGAGCTGCCCCCCGGCCCCGCCTCCCTCTTGCCCCAGCCACCCCCTCCAACACACAAGTCGGTTTCCACACACTCACCCCTTTGCACAGTGAAATAAGGCCTGGAAAGGGATCCTGGCTTCCCGGAGTTTCCCCGGGACTGCTTCAGTTGGTGGGATGGGCAAAGAACAACCTGAAAGTCCAACCTGGCAGTAGGTCTGACCTGGCAGGGGCACCCTCCTCGCCCTCCGCAGCCGTTCTGCTCCCAAAGCCCGGGAGGAAGCCAGAGGGGGAAGCAGCCCCCAGGGACTGGGACTGGCACCGGAGCCTGGGTCCTGGGTGAGGCGAGCGCCCGATCCAGAGAAATAAACAGGCAGGGAGGCTACCTGGCCGGGTTCCCAAAGTCCCACGGCTGCCTGGACCCCCGGCCGCAAAGAGGCACACCCCAAGACACCAGGCCTCAGTCCTGCCCCGCGACTGGCTCCGGTTCCCTGGACAGACCCTGCCAAAGGAACCCTTCTCGGCCCTGGCACCCCTTCCTCCAGCCTAAGGGCCAGCTCCGGCCAAGATAGTCCATCTGGCCATGCCCCCAGTCCAGCCCTTTCTGGGCCCTGGCCGGCGGACTTCACTCACCTCTTCACAGGGCGATCCAGAAATCCTCATCCGAGAACATGGCCAGAGCCCGGGCCGCTCCCCGACCTCCGACCGCCGGAGCGATCACAGCCGCCCCCCTCTCGGGGGGGCCACGGGGGGCCCAGAACGGTAAATCCAGGTCGGAGTGGCCACTCTTCCCACCCCCCGCCAGGGAGAAAATCCGGAAAAAATGCCAAAAGAAAAGAAAAAAGAGCCGACGCGGGCCGCCCAAGGTTCTCCTCGCTCGGGTCCCCGCAGTTCAGGTCTCCATGGGCAGCCCCGCGGCGGCGAGCCCCGAGCGGACACAAAGGGAGCCCCGGCGGCTTTGATGTGGGGCGAGCCGGCTCGGCATCCGCGCCGCCGGGCCGCCGCGCAGTCCTCGGGCCGGGCCCGCGCCGGGATCGGGCGGAACGTCGGGGCGCTCCAGATGGAACGTCGAGGCGCCTCCCCGGCCGCCCGGAAGGAACGCCGCGCCGCCCCGCGCCGGGCCCGGATGGAACGGGCGAGCCTCGCGGCGGCCGCGGCGGCGCCGGGCCCGCGCCCCGGCCGGGCCGGGCCGGGCCGGGCCGGGCCGGCCGGCGCCCCGGCCCGCGCGCGCTACGGCGACGAGCGGCCGGCGGGGCCGCGGGCCGAGCCTGACACACGCCCAGCGGCCGGCGGCCCGACCCCGCGCGTCGCCCGCCCGCCGCCGGCTCCCCGGGGCGGCGAGGAGGAGGGTCGGCGGGCGCGGAGGAGGCGGCGGCGGAGGAGGAAGGGGCGGGTGGCGCGAGCCCTCTGCCCGCTCCTCCGGCCGCGCCGGGCCCAGCGCTCGCCTCCTTCCCTCTGGCCTCGGGAGCGGCCCCGCCCCCGGCCCGGCGGGCTCTGCTCCGCTCGGCGGCCCCCCGGACCCCCGGCCGCTAGCGATCGCGGGGGCCTAGAGGCGCATGGCCCGGCCCGGCTCCCGGCGCCGGGGGGTCAGGAAACTGAGCGGAAAGTGGGGAACGAGGCAGCCATTTGCAACCGGAGAGGAAAGTAGTGCAGCGCGGCGCCGCTCCGCCTCCCCCCTCCGCCTCCCGGGCGGCCGGCTGGGTGGTTCCTGCGGCGGGGCCGGCTCCCGGCGCGAGGCTCCGGCGGCGGGCGCGGCGCTTCAGGAGGCCTCCGGCGCGCAGTCCAGGGGGTGCATCTTGCCGGGGGACCCCGCTCGACGAGGGAGAAAAGAGGAGCCGCGGCCCTATTTTGTGTTGGAGCGGAGCGGCGGAAGGACACCGCCCGCCCCGCGCCCGGGCTGTGACTTTGCAGTTCTACGCACACGCCGCGGATCCCTCCGCCGCTCGTTAACCCCGCCGGCGCCGGGCCGGCCGCGGGGCAGACACGTGGGAACCGGGACCCCCGCCCCGCCGCCCCGGCCCGGGCGCCGCCGCCGGGCCGGCGCGCGCGGGACGCCGGCGCTCCGGCCGCCTTCCAGCCCCGGCCCCGCGGCGGGACCGCTCCCCGGAACTCCAGCTGCCCCCGTGCCTCGGCCAGGGGCGAGCTCTCCCGGGAGGGGGATGGAAGAAGAGCCAGGAGATTGGCCGCTGCTCTGCATCCTGGGAACTGGAGTCCGCAGAGGGAGAAAGTGAGGCACGGTGCCTGCTGCCGCTGCTGCCGGGGATGGGGTGTCGCCGGGGTCTCGGGCCCAGGGGGCAGCGGAGCGAGGCCCCAGGCTTCCCCCTTACTCGCAGGCCCGCTAGTGAGGAGTGAGCACCGTCGGTGGCCCCCGCCACACGCACCTTCCCTCCAAAACATAAATAGAGTTCCCCCCCACCGCCCCGCAGACCCCAAATGCCCGGCTCTCCCATCTTAAGGGCCCGAGTCCCCAGGCTTAGCAAGCGGGGAATATGCTGTGGAGCCTTTCTGCCACCCCACCCGGGGACTGTTAATCTCAACAAGATCCTCTACTTTGCTGTGGGCAACTCCCCTCCCCCCCCCACTCGACCCCACCCCACCCCCACAGAGATGTCTGGAGAGGGGATAGGAATGCCTTTGCCCTAGCTGTACCTGCGGGTGGTCGCAAGGAAACAAGCTATGTGCTGAACGCTTTATAGAATAGTCTTAGTTACTCCTCATACTGTGAATTACCTAGAATTATGTCCCTGTTACACCTAAGGAGATGGAGGCCAGAGTAAGTAAAATGGCTAAAATGGCGCGAGGAACTGAAGCTAACTGATTCAAAAGGTGGTCATGTCTCTCCTAGGAGTTATATATACATAATTTTTTTAAAAACACTGTGGAGAAGAATAATACTCAGGGCTGGTCCTGTGGGAAAGGGTCTCCAACAGAACTTTCTGCAATGACACAAGTGCACACACTGTATGTACATTGTATAATATAGTTTAGTGTGTTGAAGCTATTGATCACCTTAAAATGTAAGCGGGCCCAGTAACATTGTGAGACTTGTTGTTACTGTGTTTGGCATATCAAATACTTCACGGGTAGCTTGCCAGGCTTTGCCGTTCGGGCTTCGGTAGCTTGCCCTGCTCTCTGAGAGGGGCGGAGGAATCGAACCCAGCTCTGCCGGCCAGTTCGTGTAAGGCAAATGCCCTACCACTGTGCTATGGCTCCAGCCAAGTGGAGCAACTAAGAAACTTTTATTTTGCTTCATTTTATTTATTTGTCTATTTTTGGGTTTGGAGCCAAACCTGGCTTTGCACTCAGGAATTACTCCTGGCAGTACTCAGGGGCCACATAGGATGCAAGGGATCAAACCCAGGTCCGTTACACGCAAGGCAAACACCCTACCCACTGTACCATTGTTCCAGCCTCTATGTTGCTTCATTTTAATACTTACTGACCCTTAATACTAAGGTTAAAATGTGACCCGGGGCTCCAATATTGGACAATGTAAGAGACCATCATCTCTTCTGATCAGTTATAGTACATGAGAACTGGTACGTCCTCAGCCAGCCACACACTAGGATCACGGGCCATCTGGCCTGTCCAAGGAAAAAAGTCCACCAGCAATCCCTCACTAAAGTATCTCCTCTATAGTATAATTAAGTAAATCGAATATTGGGGAGGATGGAGGTAGAAAGCTAGTACAGCAGGTAAGGCTTGCCCACCGCCAACTCCGACACCCCAGATAGTCCCCTGAGCTCAACCCAGCGTAGGCCTGAACTCAAGCCAGAAGTAAGTCCTGAGCACTGCTGGCTGTGGCCCAAAACAAAATAAAACAAAAATGGAAATCCCCCTATTTTCTGTAATCAGAGGCAGGGAGGTAGACCTCTACCAGAAAGACATCCAGTAACACAGTAGCTGCCATAATAAACTACTTAAGGATTCATTATCTTTGAATGAGGAATGGTCCTAAACACTTTAATATATTCCCTCATTTAATTAAGTGTAAAGAAGTTTAGTTACATTCATAAATGAGAAACTAAAGCTCAGAGACTTAGCAACTACTCAAGGTCACACAGTGTAAAGTAACTATTCTAACCCAGCCACATAAGAGCTCAGGTCTTGAATTCTAGGAAACCTCAGAGGCTTCTAAGTTTCCAGACCTCATGGAAAGGGCAGGTGGAGCGTATGGACCTACTGAATTTCTAGGTCAGATGTACCAAAGGACCTAATTTTAATGTAAGAGAGGATAGTAATAACCAGAGAAAGACTCTTGATCCCATGAACCAGAGAGATAGTTCAGTGATTAGGGAGATTGCCTTCCATGCGGCTCACCCAGGTTCTATCCCTTGTATCCCATATTAGCCCCTCAAACCTTACCATGAGTAAACACTGAGCACAGAGCCAAGAGTAAGCCCTGAGCACTGCCAGGTATGGCCCAAACCACCATCCAAACTACACCTTATTCTGTTCATCTTCCCTAACTGCAGCACTGCACTGTCTTCCAGTTGTTCATCGATTTGCTTGAGCGGGTGCCAGAAACGTCTCCATTGTGAGACTTGTTGCTACTGTTTTTGGCATATGGAATACACCATGGGGAGCTTGCCAGACTCTGCTGTGTGGGTGGGATACTCTTGGTAGCTTGCCGGGCTCTCCGAGAGGGGCGGAGGAATCGAACCCAGGTCAGCCCCGTGCAAGGCAAATGCCCTATCTGCTGTGCTATCGCTCCAAACCCTTCCCTAACTAAGTACATTAATAGCCTACTCTCCCTCCGCCAGTTAGCAGAAGTAATCTGTGCCCTCCCTATGAAGGATACTATTCAGGTAACTTGGGTTAAATTTTTAGGGGAACTATTAGGCCAGTTAAGCCTTCAGAGTGGAAGGCAGGAAAAGAAGAGTATATAGGATCAAACCATCCTTGCTGAAATAGTCATCCTAACGTAAGAGAGAAGTAGTTCACTAGTTCAGTAAGAAATGGCAGGAGCTAGGAGAGACAGTATAGCAGGTACAGTGCTTGCCTTGCACATGGCTGACCCAGTGGTTCTATCCTGGACACCCCATATGGTCCCCTAAGCTTGGCCATGAGTCATGCCTGAGAAGAGAGACAGGAGTAAGCCTTGAGCATTGCTGGGGTTGGGTCAAAAACAAAAAAACAATGAAGCAGGAGCGATAGTACATAGTACAGTGGGGATGGTGTTTGCCTTGCACATGGCTGGGCCGGATTCAGTCCCTGGCATCCCATATAGTCCCCTGAGCACCGCCAGGAGTCTTCCTGAGTGCAGAAGAGCCAGACAGAAATAACCCCTGAGCATAACCAGGTGAGACCCAAAAAGCAAAGAAAAAAAGGTAAAGGCCTTTGATAGCTTTAAAAAAAATAAAAGCACAACTCCAAAGCTGTAAAAAGCTTAGCAGACCAACACACAAATGTATAAAAGGCGTAAAGAGTGGCTGGAGTGATAGTACAGGAGGAATGGCGTTTGCCTTGCACATGGCCGACCCAGGTTCAATTTCCAGCATCCCATATGGTCCCCCAAACACTGCCAGGAGTAATTCCTGAGTGCAAAGTCAGGAGTAACCCCTGTGCATCGCCGGGTGTGACCCAAAAAAGCAAAAATAAAAAGATCAAAGAGCATTCACCTGAATGGCTTTGGGGGCCAGAGCGATAATATAGTGATTAAGGCCTTGCAGTGGCCCACCTTGATTCAAATCCCTGGCACCACATAATGTCTCCTGAGCAGAGCCAGGAATAGCCCCTGAGCACCACTGGGTATGGCCCAACTCCTTCCCATCCAGCCCTAGAGGGAAGGAACTGGGGACTTGGAAGGTTGGGTAACTGATATATAGCATATGATAGTATATATACCAGTATATATACCGTTATTTCTTAGTTAACACGTCGAATTGGTATATGCCATTGGCACACACTGCATATGCCAATATGTCTTACTAAACTCTTGGAAACCCCAAATATTTACAACACTCTAGTCCCTGCTTCTTCACTGGGTTTTTCTTTGGGAGGGACAATACCCAGTGGTGCTCCAGGCTGATTTCTGGGTCTGCTGCCAGGGATCACTCTTGATGGGGCTTGGAGCACCCTATGAAGAGCTGGGTTGGGTCTGCTGCATGAAAAGCCTGAGCCCTCCCTGATGTCCTGTCTCTCAGGACCCCTCAATGGTTTTGGTTTTGAGGTCACACTAGCAGTATACTCACGCACTCTTAGTAAAGTACTGAGGCATGATAACGGCTAGGGATCAAAAGGCCAAGTACTCACTCTAGCAGCTTTGAACCATCAGGCTCTTTCACTCGGTTTGGTTTTGGGGCCACACACAGCAATGTTCAGGGCTTATTCTGGTTCTGTGCTTAGGGATCACTCCTCGTGAGGCAGAGAGACCATATGGGGTGCCATTGGGGTTTATACAAACCCAAATTTGTAGCATGCAAGGCAAGAACCCTACCTGCTGTATTATCTCTTGGCTGCTTTTTTTTTTTAGAATTGTTTTGGTTTTGCTGGGAGAGGGTATTGGGCCATAGTCAATGTTACTCAAGGACTATTTCTGGCTCTATGCTCAGGAGGGACCCCTGGTGGTGCCTATTGACCAGAAGTAGTGGGCGGGATTCAAACCCAGGCCGGTTGCAACTGAGGCAAGAATCTTACCTCCTGCACCCTCTCTCTGGAACTCCTTCATTCAGTTCTTAACAAATTAGGAATGAGTGGTGTCCTTCCTTCTCCCCAAACCCTACATTCCAGATTGAGCAAATGCCAAACCTCCAAGACACAATCTAGCCACCAGAGGGTGGTGTTTTGTAAGTAAGAGGCTGCTAACTTGGATGGCCACGTTGGCCAGTATAGATGGTATACTGGTACCAGTACAGTTGCCAGTAGAAAGAAAAGGTGAGAAGGACGAGAGAGGTAATATAGCTGTTAAGGCACTTGTCTTGCATGCAGCCAAGCCAAGTTTGATCCCAGTCCCCCAGCCCCTTCAGGACAGATCCCTAAACTCAGAGCCATGAGTAAACCCTGAGCACAGGTGGGAAAGATGGTGGGAAAGGGGCCAAAGATTTGACTCAAATCTTCAGCACAAGAAAGAAAGGTAGAAGGAGGAGAAGGAGAAGAAGGAGGAGGAAGAGGAGGAGGAGGAAGAGGAGGAGGAAGAGGAGGAGGAGGAAGAGAAGACAAGGAAGGAAGGAAGGAAGGAAGGAAGGAAGGAAGGAAGGAAGGAAGGAAGGAGGCAGAGGAAGGAGGGAAAAAATGTGAAAGGCAAAAAGTAGGTGTTTGCTCTGACTGAGGAATAAGAAATAGGACTGAGGTAGAAGGAATTAGCCCTGATCCCCCACGAAAGGCCAAAGGTATAATTCCTTAGAAAAGAAAATATTAGGCCTGAACTCTTCCCACATGAAAAGAAGCCAATGATAAAAAGATTTCTCATTTTATTTGCCTTGTCAGCCCAGGAAGCCAGCTCAGGAGTCCCCAGGCTTCCTCCCCAGTTAACACCTAAAACCTACATTGGAGATAAGTTCCAGGATAAACAATGCTCAAGACTCATCCCAACTCTGCAAGTTATAACAACTCATTTAGCAAAAACAGGGCTAGGGGCCAGTGTCCATGAGAACTTTTTGCCCCTTTGTAAACAATGAGGACCAGGCCACTGGAGCCTGGAAAAAGTGTACGAACATGAGGGTGCCAGACTAGGTGCCAAAGAGCCAAAGACACAGAAGGCAACCAAATTTGTCCTTGGGTTCTGTCCTTGCTAGAGCCTGGCAAGAACCAGGGCCAAGATCAAAGCTGCCCCAAACTCAAGGTTCCACAAGAAACAGCAGTGGTGCTTGTGCCCACTGGAATTCTTCATCCGGGCAATCTCCTGGGTGACTTTGGTGAAGATGCCTTGAGTCAGCTGCAAAGAGCAAAAGAATAATTCATGGTTGAAGAAACATTACAGGTGTTAAGCTGCTTGCCTGGCATCAGTGACCCTGGTATGACCATCCCTACCCCCCCTAAAAAAAGTTCACTGCCAACATCATCCAACTCTGAGGTGACTCCACCATCCCACCCCATCCTCAACAAAAAGCACAGAAAAACACTCCCACTACCCGCCTTCCTAGTCTTCAGGCTCAGCACCTGATTCTCGATAGCAGATGACTCCATAAATGTCACACCCCAGGACTCCGCCAGCTTCTTCCCCTCAACTGCTTGGACCTCTCTAGAAGGAAATTAAGGACGTGAAGATGAAAATTAGTAATATCCTGGACCAGAACAATAGTACAGAGGGTAGGGTGCTAACGTTGTCTGTAGCTAACCCATATTCAATTGCCAGCACCCTATATGGTCTTCTGAGCCCTGACAGGAGTGATTCCTGAGTTCAGAGCCCGGAATAAGCCTTGAGTACTGATGGTGTGGTCCAAAAGACAAACGTAAAACATCAGCAATATCATAATGTTCAAAAACTCTGGAATCTAAATTTTCTCTGATCATCTTACTTCCCTAAGGTTTAGGTGGAGGGCAGAGGAAGAAAAAAATACAGAAGAAGCCTAGAACAGAGGCTTCAACAGGAAAACAATGTTTGAAATATTAAAACATTTGCAATAAAAAGGTGAGCCTGCCAAGTTAGAAATGAAAAGAGGTGAAATGACTTATTCAAATCAGTGGCAGAACAGATTACAGACTGAATTAAAGTCTGGGCATGGGGGAATAAGTAGGAATAAATAGAATTACAGACTGAATGATTCCTAGATTAGCTCACTTTCTATTGCGGGCAGCTTCAGAGATTTCCATACCTATCTGGTGAGAGATCTGCCTTGTTCCCCACTAGAACCACTGGCAACCTAGAAGGAAAGAACAGTTACTCCAGGACGGGCTCCTACTCCCCGCAGATCCCAGACTCTTTCACATAAGGCTGGATACCACTCCCATCAGACCCATCACACAGGATCTACATTCCAGCCACCTCCCTAACTTGGACATGACCCCTCCCTCAACTTTCTATTATCCTCTCGTATCCATATTTCTTTATTCCCCCATGGCCACTTACAGGTTTTCCATGGCCTTTATGTAACTTTTGGTACAGAACCTCAATGACTTGGAAGCTTTATATATAAAAAGAGGAAGGTGAAACCTTATTCTGGGAAATCCTCAGATTGTCCAAGTCCCCATTCACAACTTTTTACATTTACCTATGCAGAGAGCCCGGCAAGCTACCGAGAGTATTCGATATGCCAGACACAGTAACAACAAAGTCTCCAATGGAGACGTTACTGGGCCCGCTCGAGCAAATCGACGATCAACGGGAGGGCCTTTACCTTTACCTTTACCTTTACATTACATATGAACCAACCACAGAGACTACCAGAATTCATCTCACAGACTGATCTGCCATATTTTGATACCCGATCCCAAACTGGTACCTGTCCTGCTGTGTCCATCAGGTATAGTTGAATCATCTTTGCCAAGAGTCCTGTCTTGCTGTAAGCTGAAAAGAAAACTTGACTGTGAGATAGCCTTTAGGTCTATCAACAAGTACCCTCATGCTTAGCCCTGACAATGACATAAGTGTTTTCTAGGAAACTGAAGAGACAATATTAGAATTCAACTTTACTTCTTTTTCTTTTTCTATTTTTGCTTTTGGGCCACATCAAGCAGAACTTGGAGCTTACTCCTGGATCTGTATTCAGGGATCACTCCTGGGAAGGCTTGAGGGATCCAAACTAGGTTGGCCGGGTGCAAAGCAAGAGCCCTACCTGCTATCCTAGCTCTCTGGCCTCTTATCTATCTCTCCCACTGTCTTGCAAAATTCACTCTAGTTCAACAGATTGAACAAGATTAGAGACGAGATTTGTTTGCTTTGGGGCCACACCCTGCAATGCTTGGGGGTTACTCCTGGCAGGGCTTGGGGGACCACATGGAATTCCAGGGATCTAAGTTGGGTAGGCTGAGCGCAAGGCAAGCACCCTACCCACTGGCTGTACTATCTGTCCAGTCCCGAAAGATTCGATTTAATATCTAATTAAGTAAGTCCCCTAGCTCCAGGTAAATGTCAGATTTTTTGACCTGGGTGTGGCACTTCCCTATCAGATTCCTAGTGGAGAAATTTACTCACTCCTCTCACTGTGGGATCTTCCAGGAACTCACCCTCCACAAATTGATGAGCCAAAGATGTCTCCCCTGTGGGAAACAACAACAGTTTTATCTACATCTACGTTAATTCACATGTTCTGCCCTTTTCAGCTGTGGCCTTACCAGAACCTCATCTTCTTTTCATCCTTCGTCTCTACACGTTAGCCACTGGATACATTTCTGCAGCAAGCACCCGGATGCATCAGTGATGGGCAGAATTGTGGCCCAAGAAGGCTTTGATTACCCCTCTCTGGGAAGATCTGGGATTCCCTAGGATCCCAAGAAGCCCTTCAGGTTTGTTCCACATGTACCGTGCTCCCAAAAGACAAACTGCGACCTCATCCTGTAGAGTAACGTTGGGGGCCACTCTTAACATTTCAGCAGCCAAGACCATATTAACTAACCCGCCTGTGCTTCCTCTTCCTGCAGCCCTCCACCCAATACCTCCACTCGGACCCTTCCTTTCCTTCTCTTCACCTCTCTACATCCCTGTTCTAATGATGCCAGCATTCCTGCAGGGTCGCGCGCCTCCTCTGGTGATAAAGCTGCGGTGCGCGCGTGTCTTTCCCTTTCCCGAGCGGTACCCGAGGATAACAACCTTCCGGTGGCCAACTAGCGGCACGGCAGGAGCCTCTCGCAGGGGCCTGCAGAACAGCGAGGCGTTCACGGAGGGTACAGGGCAGCAGGCGCTGCATGCAGGGAGGAAAGTCGCTCACCCCAATTTGCCTGGAGTAAGCCAGACAGAAACCAAAACAAGCGCCGCGCCCGGAGCCGCCCACGTGATCACAACACGCCAAGCCTAGCGCGAGAGAGCCGGGCGCGGGGAATACAGTGCCGCGCCGCCCCGGGCTCCGCCCCACAGGCCGCTCGTCATTGGTCATTCCACAGGCTGTGGGCGGGGCCGTCGGCAGGAGGGAAGGGTGGGTCTCACGTGGAGCGGGAGAATCGGGTTCTGCGCGTGCGCAGACTAGAGCCGGTTCATTCATAAAGAAACAGAAAGGGACCCAGGTGTTTGCTCTTTTGAAACCTAAGGCGAAGGTTAGAATCTCGGATGAAAAATAGTCGGTGTGGCTGGGTTGTAATTTTTGGTCAAAGTATTTTAGGGTTCTGTACTGCAAGAGCTCTGGGTTCTTGGTAGGAGGGAAAAAAAAAGAGTCAAAATTACAGTTTATCCCTGTCTCTTGCTCCAGCCAGACCTCAGGAAGCAATTCTCTTTTTCTTTTCTTTTTTTTTTTTTTGAGCTATACTACCCTGCTGTGCTCAGAGAGCAACTCCCTGAGTGTTTCCTGGGGCTAGGTTGCTAAAGGAGTGTCTTTCCAATAGCATTGCTGGGGGGCCATGCAGTTCTGGGATGCAGTAAGACCTCTTGCAAATCATGCGCACTAACTAACCCTTCAAGCCATCTCCCTTACTCTTGGAAAGCAATTGTTATTCTTAGGAAAATTGTTAGATTAGCCTGTGGCCAAGCCAGTCCCTGTGATCTGATAATCTTCACATTACTTACATTCAGCAAATACTTAGTGTATGCTGTGTGTTCCTAGTATTATTCTAGCTTTGGAAATAAAGGGATTAACTTGACAAATAAGATCTCTGAGTTTTTGGAATTTAAAACCTAATGAGGGCTGGGGGCTTGAACGACTGAACAGTTGCTCGCCACCCGTTTGCTTACGGCTGACCTGGTTCGATCATATGCATCGCTTATGATCCCCCTAAGCACCTTCAGGAGTAATTTTTTTTGGGGGGGTCACACCCGGCGATGCACAGGGGCTACTCCTGGCTCATGCACTCAGGAATCACTCCTGGCAGCACTCCGGGGAACCATATGGGATGCTGGGGATCGAACCCGGGTCAGGCCGTGTGCAAGGCAAACGCCCTACCCGCTGTGCTATCACTCCAGCCCCATTAGGAGTAATTCTTGAGTGCAGAATTAGGAGTAACCCTGAGCATTGCCGGGTGTGACCCCAAACAAAAACCTAACGAGGGGAAAACGAGCATATAAACAAGGAAATATGGGGCCGGAATGATAGTACAGCAGGTAGGGCATTTGCCTTGCACGCAGCTAACTGGTTCGATCTCTTGGCATATGGTTCCCTGAGCACCTCACAGGAGTAATTCCTGAGGACAGAGCCATGGGTAAGCCCTGAGCACAGCTGATGTGATTCAACAAATAAATAAATTGAGCTGGAACAATAGCACAGTGCGTAGGGCATTTGCCTTGCACGCAGCCGACCCGGGTTCGATTCCCAGCATCCCATATGGTCCCCTGAGCACCGCCAGGAGTGGTTTCTGAGTGCAGAGCCAGGAGTAACCCCTGTGCATTGCTGGGTGTGACCCAAAAAGAAAAAAATAATTAATAAAAGTAAAATAAAATAGAAAAAAGTCTAAGATGATGGCTGAGAGCCAGGCCATTAAAGTTCAAGCTATGGAGCTGGATGTCTTATGGGGCGCTTGCTTTGCTCGCGGCCGATTCAGGATCACTCCCAGGCAACACATAGGGTTCCCTAAACACCTCTAAGAGTGATCGCTGAGAACCATCCAGCGTGTGTCCTCCACCCCACCCCACCCCCACCTCCCGCCAATAAAATAAAAGTCTAGGCTAATTGTTGCCAATGTTTTGTTTTGTTTCATACCCCAGCAGAGCTGAGGACTTACTCCTGGCTCTGTGATCAGGGATCACTCCTGATGGAGCTCAGGGGACTATATAGGAGCCAGAGATCAAACCTGGGTCAGCTACATGCAGGGCTTGCACCCTGTCAATTGTACTATATCTCTGGCCCCAGGCTGATAATGTTTAAGTTGGGATACAAAACGATTCAAAACTGTGTTTCAGAAAGATATCTTTAAAGCTGGGATCAGAGAGATAGATCAATAGGCAATGCATGCTCTCTATAGGGGAGATTCAGGTTTGATCCCTGGCATGACATGGTCCTACAAATACGATTCGGAGCAACCCCTGACCACCATGCCAGGTGTAACTCCTATCCAGAATCACCAGTTGTGGTCTAAAACCCAAAACAAAGAAACAACTAAACAAAACAAGATATACATAACTAAGAAGCATAGACATACACAAGTAAAAAACATAGATATACATGAATAAGTAATACAGACGTGCAGGACTAAACAATATAGATACATATGGAGGGTTCTATTGCACAAGGCTTTAGGACTTCTTGGTCTTCCACATCCTACAACTTTGCTGAAGAAACAATTATGTTAATGTATCAACTATTATTGTATAACAAACAATATGACAACTTAAAGTAACAATGTATTTGTTTTCAGCATTCTCTGAATGGATTGGCAACTGGTCGCTTGCCTGTTCTGGACTCACTCACAGAGTCATGGTCTGCTGGAAGCCTAAAACATACTCATCCAAGGATGGGAGAGAGTACAGCCAAGAAGATTGTGGCTTTGCATGCAGCTAACCAGGGTTCAATCCCTGGCACCCCTTATGGTTCCTGAGAACCTCCAGGAGTGACTCCTGAGTCCAGAACCACAAGTAAGCCCTGAGCATCGTCAGGTGTGTCCCCAAAACTGTAGCACTGTAGCACTGTCCTCTCGTTGTTCATCGATTTGCTTGAGCGGGCCCAGTAATGTCTCCATTGTGAGACTTGTTGTTACTGTGTTTGGCATATCGAATACATCACGGGGAGCTTGCCAGGCTTTGCCGTGTGGGCGAGATACTCTTGGTAGCTTGTGGTGCTCTCCGAGAGGGGCGGAGGAATTGTTCCAAAAACAAAACTAAAAAATTTCTTAACACTCACACCTCTGAGGTCTTGCTGCTGACTTTCTGTTTGGTTTGACTTCACTCTCTCTGCACTTGCCTCCCATTCTTTGTTTTAAAGGGTTAGCAGCTTCGGGGCTGGAGTGATAGCACAGCGGGTAAGGCGTCTGCCTTGCATGCGGCCATCCCGGGTTCGGTTCCTAGCATTCCATATGGTCCCCTGAGCACCGCCAGGAGTAACTCCTGAGTGCAGAGCCAGGAGGAACCCCTGTGCATCGCCAGGTGTGACTCAAAAAATAACTAAGTAAATAAAATAAAGGGTAGCAGCTTCCTTACAGGGTGACAGAAGCACAAAAGAAAATGAAGCATTAGACCAGGGATGAACTCAGTAGTACAGTGCTCTCCTTACCTGTATGAGGCCCTGGGTTCAGTGCCTTGCACTGCAAAAATAAAATAAAAGCAAAAATTGTTAGGCTTCCCGAGACCTGAGGCTCTGGAACTCATTTAATATGATTTTTGGTACATGTTTTAAGTCCAAGCAAACCATCCTAGATTTAGTACACAGAGAAATAAACTTCCTTTTTTTCTTCCTTTTTTTTTCTTTTTTGGTTTTTGGTTATTGAGTTATACCCTGTGTTGCTCAAGGGAGTCTCCTAGCTCAGAATTGGAGGGGATTTCGGTGGGAGGGGGAACAGGGGTAGACCATATGATGCTGGGGATCATGCCCCAGCATGTGCTCCAGCCCCTTCACCAAATCCTAGCCCTAAATTTTATTCCTTGATGAGAGAAACTATACGTTGTGGTTGTATTCAGTCTACTGCAGAGTAGCTGTCTGCTGGCTATGATAGGCTGGAGCCCCCCAAGTTTCCACTGCTGTGGTTGAGCCCCACAACTCCATCCTCACCACCCACACCACCCTGAAGCACTCTGATTATCCTTTTTGGTGGACGTCTATGAACTTTCCTGTCAAACATCCAAGCGGCACTAACCTAACTCTCTCAAATTCCATCTTTTTTATTTGTTAATTTTGTTTTGGTTTTGGGGGGACCAACACCTGGCAGTGCTCAGGGCTTACTTCTGGCTCTGCACTCAGGGATCACTCCTGGTGAGGCTCGGGGTGGGTAGATGAGGACCCTATGGGGTGCCAGGCATCCCAGGAACATGTGTTGGCCACAGGTAAAGCAAGTGCCCTACCCTCAGTACTATCTCTCCGGCTGGTATTTAATCTTTGATCTAGAACATCGAGAATGTAGTTTACTGCTGTAACAGAAAGTCCGGACAACAGCTTGAACAAAATGGGACCTTCTCTCTCAGAGACTGGAGTTTGTGCTTTGCGTTCAGCAGTCCAGGGGTGGAGGCTCATTCCTGGCCGCACCTGGTCCCCTGGGGGGAATAGCCTAGTACCACTGTGTCTCTTCCATCTACAAAGAGGCTCTGGTAATGAAACCAAAATTTTTTTAATTTCAAATGAATATGAATAAAACTAGTCTTAAAACTAGTCTTAAACCGGGGCTGGAGCGATAGCACAACGGTAGGGCGTTCACCTTACAAGCGGCCAACATGGCCGACCCGAGTTCGATTCCTCCGCCCCTCTCGGAGAGCCCGGCAAGCTACCGAGAGTATTCGATATGCCAGACACAGTAACAACCAAGTCTCCAATGGAGACGTTACTGGGCCCGCTCGAGCAAATCGACGATCAACGGGAGGGCCTTTACCTTACCTTTACCTAGTCTTAAACTATAAGAGTGAATCAAGAGAGATAGCACAGTGAGTAAGATGTCTTACATGCAGTCAACCCCAATCCAATCCCCAGCACTACATACGGTACCCCAAGTACCACCAGGAGTGATCCCTGAGCAGAGAGCCAGGAGAAAGCCCTAAGGATCGCCAGATTTGGCCTAAAAACTAAAATAGAACGCCCCCAAAAAATAAGAGTACAAAACAGTTGGAGTCAGAGAAATAGTACAACAGGTAGGAAGCTTGCCTTGTGTGGAGCTGACCTGAGTTCCATCCCTAATAACTCATATGGTCTGTATGTCCTTCCAAGAGTGATCCCTGAGCACAGAACCAGGAGTAAACCCTGAACACAGACAAGTATGGCCCAAAAAACAAATCAGAAAACTATAAAAATTGTAAAGTGGTGATGATGATGAT